TTGTGTGTTCTGTTGGTATAAAGCCGTATAATAAGCGGGATAACGTATATTACGCAGGTCATTATCGGGAAATAAGTACCGACAGGGCGAAGCGGACTTATCCTTCTGCTAAAACATTTAGAAAGACTGAAGTAAAACTATTAACAATAGTGAAATGCGTAATACAGAATTCAGAACATAATAATTCAACCTTAAATGAACCAAAAGACATAATGGATGGATTATATACACATACAGTATTTACCATGGAGCTTTGTGTAAACTCATCAATATTCATGCACGGTACATTCTGACGTTCTGCGCTACAGGCTGTAGACTTTCTAAAAGAGTTTGTACGTAGTAAAATTCTACTGACTCCAGGCTTAAAGTTCTGTTTTATGTTATGTATTAAGAATGTATATGTATAATGTATTCTCCGATTAACATTTAATGTGTTTATTGTTACACCATGGATCTATGTGTGGCTACACTGCAGTGGAAATAATGAGATTACATTCAAATCAATGGAGCTTTCTGCGTCTACTGTGAGGAGCCGTATATTTTATTAATAAATACTAGTACGGGGCACCCTGGAGCACGGCTCAGTCGTTCACATGTCTGCTGGCCTTCGGTAAGTCAGATACCCTGTGAACCGGGTCAGGTCCTGTGTGAGACCAAATATATAACAGCTATGCTACAAGCTAAGCTACAGTCTATGGAGCAACCCCACGTTGCAGTCAGACAGATATGTTTTATCCTTAAACTTCTGTTTGTTTCGGAATAACACTAAATCCATCATCAAATTGATTTCACTTAGCAGAAATGAAATGATCCGAGCATATTCGGGCGCTCTGGGGGCTATTAGTTTTTTGTTGTTGCGTATGGTTGTGCCATTTCTCTCTCGTTTCTTTGAGATGTCTTCTGTTTTGGAGCCGTGTGAAGTAAGGACGGCTGGCAGTCGGTAACACAACTTATTTTCCCTGTCTCTCCTTTTGCTGCAGCCAAAAACGGCAAAAATTTTGAACATGTTTATGCGGCCCCGGGTGCACGCCACTATCATACAGCGTTTGCTTGTCCTCCAGTATGGCGTCGTATCGTGACGTCACGTGAGATATCTCTATACACATACAGTATTTACCATGGAGCTTTGTGTAAACTCATCAATATTCATGCACGGTACATTCTGACGTTCTGCGCTACAGGCTGTAGACTTTCTATAAGAGTTTGTACGTAGTAAAATTCTACTGACTCCAGGCTTAAAGTTCCGTTTTATGTTCATGTCAATCAAGGGAAACCACAGCCTTAAAATACAGTTCAATATCTTTCTCGGCTGATACGCGATATTTATATTAATCCTCTATTAAAAAATAATAATTCTCTATACCGCTAGTATAACATTACAGAGTTCAGAGGACTCTTTCTCTGTGGTCTCTCTCTCTGGTCTCTCTCTGGTCTCTCTCTCTGGTCTCTCTTTCTGGTCTCTCTCTCTGGTCTCTCTCTTTCTGGTCTCTCTCTTGTCTATCTGGTCTCTCTTTCTGGTCTCTCTCTGGTCCCTCTCTCTGGTCTCTCTTTCTGGTCTCTCTCTGGTCTCTCTCTCCGGTCTCTCTCTGGTCTCTCTTTCTGGTCTCTCTCTCTGGTCTCTCTCTCTGGTCTCTCTCTGGTCTCTCTCTCTGGTCTATCTGGTCTCTCTTTCTGGTCTCTCTCTGGTCTCTCTCTGGTCTCTCTCTCTGGTCTCTCTCTGGTCTCTCTCTATGTGTCTATCTGGTCTCTCTTTGGTCTCTTTCTCTAGTCTCTCTGGTCTCTCTTTCTGGTCTCTCTCTCTGGTCTCTCTCTGGTCTCTCTCTATGGTCTATCTGGTCTCTCTCTCTGGTCTCTCTCTGGTCTCTCTCTGGTCTCTCTCTCTGGTCTCTCTCTATGGTCTATCTGGTCTCTCTTTCTGGTCTCTCTCTGGTCTCTCTCTCTGGTCTCTTTCTCTGGTCTCTCTTTCTGGTCTCTCTCTCTGGTCTCTTTCTCTGGTCTATCTGATCTCTCTCTGGTCTCTCTCTGGTCTCTTTCTCTCTCTCTGGTCTCTCTTTCTGGTCTCTCTCTCTGGTCTCTCTCTATGGTCTATCTGGTCTCTCTTTCTGGTCTCTCTCTCTGGTCTCTCTCTGGTCTCTCTCTCTGGTCTCTCTCTATGGTCTATCTGGTCTCTCTTTCTGGTCTCTCTCTCTGGTCTCTCTCTGGTCTCTTTCTCTGGTCTATCTGGTCTCTCTTTCTGGTCTCTCTCTCTGGTCTCTTTCTCTGGTCTATCTGATCTCTCTCTGGTCTCTTTCTCTGGTCTCTCTCTGGTCTCTCGTCTCTCTCTTCTGGTCTCTCTCTCTGGTCTCTCTCTATGGTCTATCTGGTCTCTCTTTCTGGTCTCTCTCTGGTCTCTCTCTCTGGTCTCTCTCTGGTCTCTCTCTCTGGTCTCTCTCTATGGTCTATCTGGTCTCTCTCTCTGGTCTCTCTCTCTGGTCTCTCTCTCTGGTCTCTCTCTCTGGTCTCTTTCTCTGGTCTCTCTCTGGTCTCTCTCTGGTCTCTCTCTCTGGTCTCTTTCTCTGGTCTATCTGGTCTCTCTCTGGTCTCTTTCTCTGGTCTCTGGTCTCTCTCTCTGGTCTCTCTCTCTGGTCTCTTTCTCTGGTCTCTCTCTGGTCTCTCTCTGGTCTCTTTCTCTGGTCTCTCTCTCTGGTCTATCTGGTCTCTCTCTGGTCTCTTTCTCTGGTCTCTGGTCTCTCTCTCTGGTCTCTTTCTCTGGTCTCTTTCTCTGGTCTATCTGGTCTTTCTCTGGTCTCTGGTCTCTCTCTCTGGTCTCTCTCTCTGGTCTCTTTCTCTGGTCTCTCTCTGGTCTCTCTCTGGTCTCTCTCTGGTCTCTCTCTGGTCTCTCTCTGGTCTCTCTCTGGTCTCTCTCTGGTCTATCTGGTCTCCCTCTGGTCTCTCTCTGGTCTATCTGGTCTCTCTCTGGTCTCTCTCTGGTCTCTCTCTGGTCTCTCTCTGGTCTCTCTCTGGTCTCTCTCTGGTCTCTCTCTGGTCTCTCTCTGGTCTCTCTCTGGTCTATCTGGTCTCTCTCTGGTCTCTCTCTGGTCTATCTGGTCTCTCTCTGGTCTCTCTCTGGTCTCTCTCTCTGGTTTACACCTTAAATGACATCTTAAAGTGGAGTTATTCTTAATTGAAATGCACTAGACGTGATTATCAAGCAGAATATCCAATCAGAGAGCAGAATGAGGCTCACATATGGGATGCCAGTTTCTCAGGTGACATCTTCCTGGGTTTGGTTTTATATCATTTTATAGATAAGAAAATTCACAAATGGAAAAGAAATAGCATCACACATTTAGCTAAGACACAGAGCTTGTGCTGTTTCTACCTAAACTCCAGCAGGTGGATTGCATCAGTTATCAGTGCCTCGGAACGACATGCGTCCTTTTAAGTTCTGACATCATCGAACTTTAATTATACACGGTTCTTAACATTTGAATACAGTAAATAATGAGGTTACAATGTTCTGCAGAAGCCACGCCTGCAGTGTCGTTATGGAAACACAATGTTACTCCCTCTAACTTTAATCAAGGCTCAAACTGTTGTTGGCTTTTAACACACATTTATCCGACCACAGGAGTCAATGTACAAGGTCTCCCTCTGGTCTCTCTCTCTGGTCTCTCTCTCTGGTCTATCTGGTCTCTCTTTCTGGTCTCCCTCTGGTCTCTCTCTCTGGTCTCTCTCTCTGGTCTATCTGGTCTCTCTTTCTGGTCTCTCTCTGGTCTCTCTCTGGTCTCTCTCTGGTCTCTCTTTCTGGTCTCTCTCTCTGGTCTCTCTCTCTCGTCTCTCTCTCTGGTCTCTCTCTCTGGTCTCTCTCTGGTCTCTCTGGTCTCTCTCTCTGGTCTCTCTCTGGTCTCTCTCTGGTCTCTCTCTCTGGTCTCTCTCTGGTCTCTCTCTGGTCTCTCTCTGGTCTCTCTCTCTGGTCTCTCTCTGGTCTCTCTCTCTGGTCTCTCTCTATGGTCTATCTGGTCTCTCTTTCTGGTCTCTCTCTCTGGTCTCTTTCTCTGGTCTCTCTGGTCTCTCTCTCTGGTCTCTCTCTGGTCTCTCTCTATGGTCTTTCTGGTCTCTCTTTCTGGTCTCTCTTTCTGGTCTCTCTCTCTGGTCTCTTTCTCTGGTCTATCTGGTCTCTCTCTGGTCTCTTTCTCTGGTCTCTCTGGTCTCTCTTTCTGGTCTCTCTCTCTGGTCTCTCTCTGGTCTCTCTCTATGGTCTATCTGGTCTCTCTTTCTGGTCTCTCTCTGGTCTCTCTCTCTGGTCTCTCTCTGGTCTCTCTCTCTGGTCTCTCACATTTATCCGACCACAGAAGTCAATGTACAAGCTCACGGTGATTTTGTGTAAAGCCCTAAATCACATTCTTTTGGAAAAAGGTTTTATCCGGTCAGAAATTATGGGGAATCCTTTCAGTAGCAGCTGCATGTTTTAAGGCCGTAAAACCTCACACACACTTTATACACTTAACCACCTGAACTCACGACTGCTGGAGTGAGAGAGACTGCTGCAGATATCAAAAGACTTTTTACTTCTTGCCACAAAAAGTAAAAACTGAAACCGGGAGCAAAACATGGTGGAAAAGCAACAATGGACCAACAACAAGAGGACAGGAGCACAGGGTCTAAATACACACAGGACACACAAGTGTAGCACATCAGGGCGGGGCAAACAATCAACAAGACGGACAGGAAGTTAAACTCACAACTAGAGAACAAAAATATATCAACATAAAACCAGGTAAATTAACAGGAAGTCGACACCATGACAACCGTAGTGTTTGCCAAAAGCGGAAAAAGACAATTTGAACACAAGCTAGCTGGAGTCCTGTTCCTTATATGGGGCGGTGTTAGCTTCCAGCTGTAACAGGGACAAATGTGTTGCTAAGGTGGTTGCTAGGGCAAGCTGGAGAGTTTTCCCCCATAAATAACGGCATCTAATTGGTCAATTGTTGTATGGATTCTATCTGGATTTACAAAGACAATATCCAAATACAAACAGGATCATGAAGAGCAACAAATCATAGAATATCCAAGTGAAAAAAATATACATTTAAATATACTTATAGTGTATTCGATTTCTAACTAATAAATTGTAAACATGTTTTGTTAAATTATATTTAAATCTAGTATATTTAAAGTATACTAAATGTGTATTTCAGAGAAGTACTCCAAATAGATTTTTTATTTAATATATTAAAATATATTTGAGAAATAATATATACATTTTTATTACGCTCAAAATATATCTAAACTATATTACAGATCTGTATTCTAAATATATTTCACAGTAGTATACTTTAAATGTATTTAAGAAAAAATACACTTAATTTCAGTACAAGAAAAATATATCTAAAATAAATTACAGATTTGTATTATAAATATATTTTATGGTAGTATACTTAAATGTAAGAGAAAATACACTTGATTTTGGTACACAGTAAATTCAATAGTGTTGGATTTACAGCTGTTGAGAGAAAGAAAGAAATATAGGTTTGTTTGTTTTTTCATTTACTCTAATACTACAATAAACTATTAATATGTTGTTAATATGGTACAAAAGAGACTTTGCATTTCCTTACTTTTAATCTCTTTCAATATTATTTGGCAGAGGAACAACAAACAATTTATTCAAGGATCCAAACATCACACATTTTCGTTTTAGTGACTGAGGATCAAGAGCAAATACGTTGCTGGTCCTTAACACTTCAGTAATAAATGTAGAAGATGTCTTCAGCTGTACGTCTCTCCAAACATTTACTCAGCTCTTTAACTAAAACAGAAGCTTGACCTGACAATGCAAATCTATTAGTGTTGATATTTCACAAAACCTTTCATCACAAAATAAGTTGTTTCAAAATAGCACACTTTAAGTTTATTTGACTGTTATTTCTGAAATATATTTATTATGCTACATTTTAGTATACTAAGTATATATTTTTTCACCTGGATATTACAGCTCAAAATGGAGAATGTGACACAAAGTGTTACTGAGCGAGAGGCGTTTGCTCCTCAGTCTCCCCGGTAGAGTCTACTCTGTATAATGTCAACAATCATTCATTATTTGATTGATTACAGTTCCTATAATGATGAATCAGGATGAAGGCACTGGTCTAGATACGTACAGTAACTACAGTATGGTATGTGCCAACACTTTTATGGATAAAGAGATGATACTTTATTGTTCTGTGTAGGATAAATTCTAGTGTCCAGCAGCAGAAACACATTATTCTAAAAGTTACAAACAATAGTGTAAAATACAAAAGGACTTTAGGTCACAGCAGCAGAGGTGGTGTCGCCGCTTTGTGCGGAACATTTTCTCTGCTCTGGTTCAGAGTGAGATGCTGAAGGCTTTATTATCATTTTTCCAAAAAATTAGCGTTCCTCCAATGGATTTACGCTTGATCTTCTTGGTTCGGGCGGTGCATCCTCTCTGCTCTGGTCTGGATCAGTGCAGTAACATTAACAGCTGGAGAAAAATATAGAAAAATAACAATTGTAAAACATAAAACAACAACTGTTTCAGAGACACTGAGGACTTGCTGCTGCTTCCAGCGCATTCAAAACTAAAAACAAAAAAATAATATATATTATTATTAAACTTATTGCTTATTATCAAACTTGTGGTTTTAGGACGTTCCAAAGAAGAAGAAAGTTTTTACACAGAGAATAGAATTGTTTTTGTTTGGTTTGAACAGGGTCAAAGTAGAAGTCTCAAAGTTTTTGGAAGACTATGGTTTCTGAACTGAACTTTCATGTTTTCGAAGTGTATCCGACAAAACAACAGAAATGTTCAAAGAGAAGTGTCCTGTGGTTTTCCAAGATCATTATTTGATAGTGATTAGATTCACATAGCTGCGATATTATTATTCTGATTAGAGACCAGAGAGAGACGCCTTTATGAGGAAATGATGAGACCATATTTGATATGTGCCGACAAAGTCATGACAGTTTTGGTTTGATGTGGGTTGTTAAAGGAATCACAGAGAAATGAGCTCTTAGCTGAGAATCTAACTTTTGACACTTACATAGTTACCGGGACAAAGGCTTCAGCTGCGCTCTCCCACAAGGTGAAACTATCGCTCTTTGGACCGTGCTGATTTTACATGACCACATGCTATATATTTATCAACATTTGTGGTCATCTGCCCCTTGGACCAATGGCTCTATGTGTTTTTCATTATTGTATTTCTTGTATCAATCTCTGAATGGCGGCTTTTTAAAGTCTTCCGAGATTGAGATTGAGGGCTGTGCCAAAATCATTTGAATTGAATATAGAACTTTGGTCCAACTGTCTGTTTTCATAGTGGGTTATCTTTGTCGTCAGTGCTTCCTGTGTCTTTAATATGAGCCCACACTGATCTCTAATGGACTCCCGTCCACCAGGGGGCTTCCTGATCCCGTACTTCATCATGTTGTTCTTGGAGGGAGTTCCTCTGTTCTACCTGGAGCTGGCGATTGGGCAGAAGATGCGGCTCGGCAGCATCGGGGCCTGGACCACCATCAGCCCGTACCTGGGGGGTCTGGGTGAGTCCCACACGCAACATCTACACACCCTCACAAACTGAGCTGGGATCATGGACCACATGTGATCCGCTGGAGCTCCATCAAACCTCAGAGACATTGAAAAGTAAACTCCTCCAGCTCAGTGACCGTTTGTGTCGCACTCAACATTTGAGGTTAAAAATCTGTGGTTTAGCCTTCTATTTTAGGGTTTTTCATTCATTTCAACCGCATGGCGCTTTCACCATGGATCTATGGATTATAATAACTGGATAGGGAATCACTAGCTTACAGCTGTTCCACCCATGGGCACAGGGGGCGCCTGTGGTACTGCAGACTAGACTAAATTCACGTGGGCTACCCAGAAAAACTCAATGTAAACTAAAGCACCTCGACCTCAGCTGACAGAACCTACAGCTTTCATAAAGATCGGATTTTGTGGGGATTTTAGTCCTGAACTTGTTTTTTTGTTAAATCCTTTGGTTTTCTGTAAATCCGCACTTTAATGCTACAAACTCTGCTGGTTTTATTCCTGCTCTAGCTTCGCTCTGATCAGCAGCTCTGATTGGTCAGAGCGCGGCCGAGCCTCTCTGTGCACGTGCATGACAGTCACACGTGTATTTGGCGCTATGCATCATGGGAGATCATCCACTGCACAGAATCGGGAGGACCAGACAATGCCTAAATATTGGCGAGTTCCGCTAATGTTTCGTGCCCCATGGCTATCCCTAACCCTAACAAGCCATTGATTTGAATATATCCCTATTTCACTTTCAGTTTGATGTGTAGAGAAAACCAAGTGAGAACAAGTGCTTCTGATAAACAGCAGCAGGCGATACTTTTGTCCTTGTAAGTTTACCTGAGGAGGAGAGAGGATGGATCTGAGACTTTGACAGAACAAGCACTGAATATGAACTGAAATTTCTCCACTGTGAGTCGAATAAAGGTTTATCTTGCACCTTTTAAACAAAGAAACCCACCAGAACACCACAACCATGGCTCAACGAAAATACTCGCACACTATTACGCACCTGTAGACGATATGAACGGAAATGGAAAAAGACACAACTCACAGTATTTCACCTCGCCTGGAAAGACAGCCTGAAACAGCATCAACACGTAGTCAAGGAAGCAAGAACTTTATTTTATTCAAATACCATCAGTCCAAACATTTCAAATCCTAGAGTTTTATTTCAAGTTTTAAATTCCATTACAAACCCCCGTCCTGCTGTTTTTAATGATGCATCCACTGAGCTGTGGGAAATTTTTTAAAATCATCTTATCAACAAGATTACAGCTATCCGGGCCCAAATATCTGCTCCCAGCCAAGCAATTTTTATTAACAGAGAAACTCTTTATTTTAATTGTTTTACTAATGTACGCCTTTATCCCTTTCTCTTTTATCTGACATTTTATTCCACATGAAACCAACCACGTGCAGCCTCGATGTCATGCCCACCAAATTTCTCAAAGATTTTTTTAATGTGGTTGGTCCCCCCATTTTATCAATCATTAATCAGTCCCTGGACCAAGGTCTTGTCCCATCCAGTGTTAAACATGCTGTGGTCCAGCCACTTTTAAAGAAACCTTATTTAAGCACTACTGATTTTAACAATTTTAGACCCATTTGAAACCTTTTTTATCCAAAGTTTTAGAGAAAATTGTTTCATTACAGATTTTAGATTTTATTAATGAGAACCACATCTTTGAGAAATTCCAATCCGGTTTTAAAGCACAACTCAGTACAGAGACCGCCCTCCTTAGATTTTTAAATGACCTTCTTTTAACCACAGACAGAGGAGAATGCTCTATTTTAATTCTTTTAGACCTAAGCTCTGCCTTCAACACGATCGACCACAAGATTTTATTGGATCGCCTCAAAACGTGGGTTGGCATCAGAGAAACTGCACTTGGTTGGTTTCATTCTTATCTTGGGTCACTCACCGCTGATGTTCAGAATTCTGTGTTCAGTTTTCATGCAGTTCCAGAGAGTTCTAGTTTGGAAGTTGCTAGCCTAACTGTTGCTAGCATAGCCACGGGAAAGCCCTTGGGAACTATTTTATTTTCTGTCATTAAATAAACCTTTTGGCATTCCTAAAAGTGACTGAAGTTTAGTTTGTGTGTTCTGTTGGTACAAAGCCATATAATAAGCGGGATAATGTATATTACGCAGGTCATTATCGGAAAATAAGTACCGACAGGGCAAAGCGGACCCCGAAGGTACTTATCCCTTACGTAACAGAGGTGAGGCAGACATTTTGGTTCTTTTTTTTTTCATGTTGTATGTATTCAAATGTTTTTGTGATCTCTGAAAAGGTGTGACCTGAGATCTGGTGTACATATTGGCCCGAAGAAAATAAGCAACCCTATAAGGACTGACCAACGGCCCAGCAACCATGTTTAAGAACCAAGAACTGTTGATTTTAAAACAGAGTTCCATCTTATTGTAGTTTTATAAGTTACATACATCTGCTTTAACTGCATTCATAAAGCATTACAATTAACTCTACTTTAATATAAATAAACTGGCCTCACTGGTGCGGCAGGTTCTCGATAAGCCGTGGAATAATCGCACCAAAGACGCACAAGATGGACAGCCAATCTGCGAGCATCTAAGGACTGAACCGGGTCTGAACCAGGTCTAAACCATGCTTGAACCAGAACTAAAGCAGAACTAAACAAGTACTAAAGCAGGTCTGAACCAGAACTAAAGCAGGACTAAAACGAGACTAAACCAAAACTAAACCAGGACTAAACCAGGACTAAACAAGTACTAAAGCAGGTCTGAACCAGAACTAAAGCAGGACTAAAACGAGACTAAACCAAAACTAAACCAGGACTAAACCAGGACTAAACAAGAGCTAAATTTGGACTGGCAAGGACTGTGACATGTTTTATAATAAGATGAAGACAGCATGTGACTTTTACGGGACTCTCTCTGTTGGACAAACTACATGGGGCATTTATGAGACTGAAGTTACGTTCCCCAGCTTTAAAACTTGCTCGGGTCGGTTGTGTTTTCTCTCCGCAAATGTTTTGTCAGACGTCAGGGGAGCTGTTGTTTTGCTGCCCCCTGCTGACAGCGCATGCTCCGGCCTTTGCTCCACTGTGACTCACAGCGAGATGTGTTTGGAATATTTCAAATTCAGGAATTTAAGAATCTGGTCTAAATATTAACAGTTTTCCTTCTTAAAAAAACAAATATATATATATAAAAAAAACACAATCAGACTACCATGCTTTCATCAATCATTGTTGTGTTTTGTGAAAGAAAGAGCCCTGTGAGTCACTATTTGACGCTTCGGGCTTAGAGCTGATTGGCTGAGTGAGGGTGGTCCTGAAAAAGCAAATGATGTGACAGAGGTCAAACACATGTATGTGAAAACAATAGTGATAGAAGCAACTGTTTTAGAGCCAGGACCTAGAGACATGGATGTTATTTACAAAGTTATGTTGTGCTGGTCTCAAAGTTACGTACCCCAGCTTTAAAAGTACACGATTATTAACAATGTAGCGATGGTGCAGGACACAGGTTGAAGTTTGAGGCCACGGGCAGAAGGGAAGCAGAGAGAAAAGGCAGGCGTATGCAATGGGAGATGGCGACTCCTAGTGGACACAACCAGGACTAAATGTTGTACGTGAGTAATTGGCTTTTGTACATGAATCTATTATGATTTTATCGCGTTACTACTACAAACTACTAAATTCAGTTACAATCTTCGGACAGTAACCGAGACAGACGTATTGCTAAAGTGGTGACTAAGGCAAGCTGGAGTATCCCCTGCTAACTCACATCTGTGTTGATCAAATGTGAGATAATATCACAATATAAACACTAGGATCACAGAGAGCACTAAACAACAAATTTCAGCCCAAAATGTTGAGTGTGAGATTAACGGTTATTGAGCTAGAGGAGTTTACTTTTACATGCGTAAGTCAATGGGCTCTATGCACCTGCACGCACCACTTCTGCGTTTTAGTTATAACCCCACTTGACTTCCTGTGCGCGGGGATCGGCTTGAGTTTCACTGGAGTTCAGCAGATGTTTACACGAGTTTGCTTTATAAGGCTCAATAGGGCTGGGCGATAAAACGATAACGATATATATTGCGATAGACACGTGTTCAATAGCAATAGAAAACTGGGTCGATAGAATGTTCGATAGTTTTGCTTGAAACTCCGTTTGCTCCGTTGGAAAAACAGGAAGAAAACACAGGAAGTAAAGCCGAGTCAGAAGCGCACAGCATTCTGGGGGGTGTAGGCAGAAATTCTCGACCTATCACAGCCAAGCATGAACCGCAAAACTTTCTGGGAAATACCAAACAACCGCACCATGCGTAGCGTCCATGGATCTATAGATCATGTTTTAATGCCGTGTCAATGGTTATGCACGTCCGTGCGCGGAATAACATGTGCGGCGGCAGAGGCAGGGGACAGACCCGATGCATTCGGCGAAAGCAAGAGATGAACTTTTTCCTCGGGAACCATGTGCGGCAATCAGAGAGCCGCACGGAGCGGTCACGGGGACACAAGACCCTCGAAAACAGCCCAAACAGGAGCTAAACTAGGACTAAACCAGGATTAAACCAGGACTAACAACGGGGGACACAGTGTGGACATATTCCTCCAGCCTCTTTCCCCCGTGACTGTAAACAAGGCTGCTAAGGTTTGTTTGCCCACACGACAAATGTACTTATTTAGTTTTTTTTTTTAAACAATCAATATATATCGTTATCGACCGATATGAATTACTTATATTGTGATATAGTTTTCAGCCATATCGCCCAGCCCTAAGGCTCAAACGGGAATTAAACTGTGAGGATACTCGGCATTTTTGGGACACAGCAGTGCTCTTTGATTGTGCTGTCATTTTGCTTTTATAAAGTTAACTAATCTCTCTGAGTGGCCACAATCAAAGCTATTCCTCAGAGAGAAAGCACAGCCACACTTTTGGGTCAGTCCCACAGCTGAATGTATCAATCTAATTACTAAAAAACGTCACTACAACTCACCACAATGCCATAGCGATAGCATAGGCAGGAAGTAAATGAGCCGTTCTTTGTTTACAGGAAATGACGTCACGCCTCCCCGTGCATAGAGCGAGTTGGAAAACTTTGTCTATAAGCACTTTCCTATTGGGTTCGTTGAGCTAGCGGGTAAGAATTGTCCATCTATATTCTGTGAATGGATGGAACATGAAGAAAAGAGAGAAAAATAGAATTTTGCAGAATCCGTCTCCTGATGGTTCAACTTCAGGCCTGCGCAGAAGACTTCACTGGACACAATATACATTTGAAAACGTTTTTATTTGCAGACGGTGAAGACTCAGAGACAGCGGTCTGTGTGAAGATGAGGCCTGTGACGAGGATCAAGAGAAAGTCAGCATATTCTTTATTTACGTAGCGCGTATCCCAGAGCAGCATCGCACAAAGCAAATGTAGTTTGATTGTCCAGAAACATTAACCCCGCCCCCTGTGTGGCGCCATGGCGATTAGTGGTGGGGGGGAAAAAATCTAAAATCTATTTTGTTAAGTGTCAATATATTTTGCGCGCATAATGCAGTCGAGCAAAGTTCTCCAATATTTAATAAAAATAATTATCTATTTCACTTTTATGTTTTTTCTGAGTTTACTCTGTTAATTTACATCTGAGGTTTATGTTCCTTTATGATGTCTGCTTTTTGTTACTCTAGTCTATTGTATTCAAATAATTTTAAGTTATGAGCTGGGAGCTTATCATTCATTGTGAGAGGTCACCAGAGAATGATTATGCATTTTATAATTTTTTATTTATTAATTATTATCCTGTATGTTCAAGGATAACGTTAACGGACTTAAGTTCATGTGCAAACCCTAATAAATGGGACATTTGAGGTGAACAGTGTTATTTTCCTCAATTGCAATATGTCGCTGAGTTGAATCGCAATACTTGATGTATCTCATAATGTTGAGAATTTTATTTGATCGCAATACCATCAAATCGTCACATTTGAAAGTAGGCGTGGCTCTGTATCTGTTTCTCCAGCTCGTCCATCACAGGTAGAGTTACATGTCTCTACATAACTGGCCGTGTCTCTCAGATGTGGGCATGCCCCTGATAAGTGGGTGTGTCTCTCAGATGTGGGCGTGTCGCTCATAAGTGGGCGTGTCTTTCAGATGTGGGCGTGTCTCTCATAAGTGGGCGGGGCTCTGTATCCGCCTCGTCAGCTCGTCCATCACCGGCAGAGGACCTTGGTACATGTTGGTCTTGATGAGCCTCAGTTTGGCCTGGTACTCGGCGGGTAACCCGTTCTGAAGCGCGCCCATCACCATCACCTGGAGAGAGAGACACAACTGGAAGATCATTGTACAAACTATGGCCCCGCCCCGTACAACGCTAACGCAAACTATAATTCTGTGCACTAACACTAACTCGCCACTAACCCCATCTCTGCACTAAGGCTATCGCTGACCTAATTCTATCTCTGCGCTAACACTAACTCCATGCTAACACTTAATCTGTGCTAGTGGACATATGTGTGAATGCTAACTCTGTGCTAATGCTAACTACGCGCTATCAGCTTAAACGTTAAACACAAGGCAGGTAAAAAGAGGAGGAGGATTTTTTTTCTTCAGACTTGACCAAAATGAGGAAACACATTTTGCATGGACTTAATCTTAAAAAAATATATCTAAAAAATTCTGTGGCGAGTGAATGTTTTTGTTTTGTAGTTTCTTCCCGATACTGGACGACCTAAGGACATTGATAATCGGGAATATTTATGGACATATATTAACATTTATGGACAGTGGTCATCCTGCTCCCTATGGTCTAAAGCAGTGTCTCCCAAAGTGGGGTCCGCGGCCCCCTGGTGGGCCGCGAGGGTACTGCAGGGGGGCCGCGGGAGGTCATAAAAAAAAATATATATATAATATAATTATTTAATGTTAAATTTATAATGTTTTGTTTGTAATATTAAAATATTTGTGTTCATTATTTGACTTGAATAATCCACTGTAATCATTTTTGTATTACAATGTTTGTAGCAGAGGCTATTTCCCCAAAATAAAATAACCAGAAGAGACTATTCTTAATGTTGTCTTCTTGGTTATTATTTTGGGGGGCCACGCAGACCCGTCAGATTTTTAAGGGGGCCTCGGTGTTACTGAGTTTGGGAATGGCTGGTCTAAAGGCTTCAATCTGTTATTTCCTGTATGACTGTTTGATTCTCTGATTTGTTGTTGGCGAATCTAGCACTTTAAAGTCCTCCGAGGTGATTTAGGGCTATACACAAATACATTGAATTGAAGTGAATTGAACTGTATGAAAAAAGTTGACATTGACATTAGTAAACAGTATGATTGAATATTCTCAAGATCATGATGAAGGGACACATGAAGAGGAACATTTGCTCTGGAGGTAAAATGCTTTTGGCAGTTTGTCACGTGTGGCTGGTCCCATGACACAAACACTGGACCAGCTTTTCAGAAAGGTGAAAACAAAGAGACAAAAGAGACAGAACCGCGTGGAAAGGCCTGGAGCAGAGGAGGCCAAGACTCTCTCAGCTGCACAAACTACAGGTGATATCTGTGAAGCTGAGAAGTGAGGTACCCCAGCTTTAAACGCCTTCAGCAGGTCTGGAAGGCTGCTGCTCACTTGTTCACAGAGACACATAAGAGAGAGCACATTACCCCTGTGCTGACCTCACTTCACTGGTTGGTTCTGATGATTGTTTTTTAATGTTTAAATGGTTTCGCTCCTGAACGTCTACTGTGATCTGTCTCTGGTTTCTCTCTGGTCTCTCTTTAATATCTCTTTGGTATCTCTTTGGTCTCTCTCTGGTCTCTCTCTGGTCTCTCTCTCTGGTCTTTCTCCCTGGTCTCTCTCTGGTCTCTCTCTGGTCCCTCTCTCTGGTCTCTCTCTGGTCTCTCTCCCTGGTCTCTCTCTGGTCTCTCTCTGGTCTCTCTTTGGTCTCTCTCTGGTCTCTCTCTGGTCTCTCTCTCTGGTCTCTCTCTGGTCTCTTTCTGGTCTCTCTGGTCTCTCTTTGTGATCTCTATCTTTGGTCTCTCTCTGGTCTCTCTCTGGTCTCTCTCTCTGGTCTCTCTTTGGTCTCTCTCTGGTCTCTCTCTGGTCTCTCTTTGGTCTCTCTCTGGTCTCTATCTCTGGTCTCTCTCTGGTCTCTCTCTGGTCTCTCTGGTCTCTATTTCTGATCTCTATCTTTGGTCTCTCTCTGGTCTCTCTCTGGTCTCTCTCTCTGGTCTCTCTCCCTGGTTTCTCTCTGGTCTCTCTCTCTGGTCTCTCTCCCTGGTCTCTCTCTGGTCTCTCTCTGGTCTCTCTCTCTGGTCTCTCTCCCTGGTCTCTCTCTGGTCCCTCTCTCTGGTCTCTCTCCCTGGTCTCTCCCTGGTCTCTCTCTGGTCTCTCTCTGGTCTCTCTCTCTGGTCTCTCTCTGGTCTCTCTCTGGTCTCTCTCCCTGGTCTCTCTCTGGTCTCTCTCCCTGGTCTCTCTCTGGTCTCTCTCTCTGGTCTCTTTCTGGTCTCTCACTGGTCTCTCTCCCTGGTTTCTCTCTGGTCTTTGACAGAGCTGTTTTCTGTGTCTGCTCCTGTCAGATCAGTGAGGTAAGAAAACCAGCCTTTATTGAATATGTCCAGGTCTCATTTCAAAACTAGAGGAGACTGGCTCTTTGCTGTTGCTGCTCTCAAACAGTGGAATAAACGTTTACAGTGAGGTCACCTTGAGGTACTGTGGAGATGGCGGCGCATACACACAGCTGTTCATGATGTAAGTGCGACAGCTGAGCTTGGCTCCTCTGCTCCTCACGACCAGCTCCACGGGACTGTAGGCCCCCAGCGTCACGTTCTCCTGCCTGTAACAGAAGGTTCATGTCAGCGCCACCTACAGCCAAGAGACAGAACTAGACTCTGTCGGAGTTCCCTGCTTGCTTTGCAACGTCTCATTTGAATCAGCCCTCTACAGTCAGCTCTGATTGGTCAGAACAGTACAATCGGTCTGTACAAGACTGTACCCTGACCCAGAGCCAAAATGTGTCACTCACTACTGCTGATATTTGGGACATCCATGGTGCGAGCATGCGCCAATCTGCACAGCTCATTGATTAGACTTGGGCGGACATCTTGGATTACCGGGGCTTGTTATAGGCCCAGGGGTCAGGACCCAGATCACCACCACCTACAGCTGTGAGAATGAGATACTGCTGTGAGCCGCAACTACAGATACTTTATCAATCAATCTTCAAAGCCAATCAAATTCCAAGTAGTTTCCATGACTTTCTATTATATCTTATCACCACCTCAATGGTGTCTACCTCTGGTGTGTCTCTAGTCCAGGGATCTCCAAATCCAAGGTCTAGTCTCTTTTGGGCTCTCTCTCTGGTACAACTCTCTGGTCCCACTCTGGTCTCTCTGTAGCCAGACAAAGTGTGTGTGGCATTGATGGTGCAGACTCACATGTCCAGAGAGTCCAGGTCGTTGAGGCTCATCCTCCACACCACCCCCCACACCTCCTCCCCCGGGCTGCGCTCGATTGTGGCCACGCCCCCATGCCAGCGCTCGCTCGCCAGGCCGCGGTGGTTACCGAAGACCAGCCGATAGTCCTGCACCAGAGAGGAAAACCTGCGTAAGCCTCAACCAGAGGAAAACCTGCTTCCCAGATCTCCCAGACCAGACAGTAGAGAGGCTGTGTCCAAAGTGAAACCAGATATTTTTTGTCTCATTTAATTATATATTGAACAAGACTCTGTGAAAAACCAGTCTGTTTGGTGTGACTGGATGGGACGATTTCTAGTGTGTTTTTACGCAGGACTAAGACATAAGACAATGCCAGCAGATGCATTTAAGAGCACAAGAATAAGCCATGCTTGTATTAGAAATGTACGCAGTGATACCTGTAAAACCCTCACATACAATTTATACACTTCTCTAACAACCTGCACACACGACTGCTGGAGTGTGATCCCGGAGATATCAAATCTGTTGGTTTTAGGTCTGCGTGCTGCTGCAGCTGTCAAAAGCTGTTCATACACTGTTGAATACAGCTGCAGAGGACACTAAAGGGCAGGAGCAGGACTGAGGACTATAGGGAGACCAGACACAGAACACAAAGAGAACAGAGACACCAGAGAAACAAGAGAGAGACCAGAGAAAGATAGCAGAGAGAGACAAGAATGAGACCCAAGAGAGCCTCAAAACGATTTTTTCTGACTTTAAATATGAACTCTTATGTTATAGTAGTGGTGTTGGACGGCACAGTACAAAAAACCCACAAAATTCCACATAAAAAAAAATCTATGAAAGGTGAAGCGCGTTATTGTGAGTGACATGATCGTTTCCATAGTTACGCAGGGTAAATCCATGGTCTAAATAAACAACCATCATTTCTCTATCAGTCACGGCCTGTAGCTAGCAACCGAAGACAACGGCGCTCACAGCTGGATTCATGTCCAATTATGGAACAAATCCAACTAGTATTCAAGCGTGTGTGGACTATAATTAACAAAGGATTATTTTCCCCTCTGTAACTATGGAAACGGCCACGTCCTGAATAGTTGTGTTTTAATGGAAATATAGGCCACTCCCTCATTATGATCATTGTGATGGATTACAGTTTCTCTGCATGTGTTTCATTGTTTTGTTTTTGTCTTTCCCTCCCTGATCTCTTGCTCTGGTCTCTCTCTCTCTGGTCTCACTCTGGTCTATCTCTCTCTCCTCTGGTCTCTTTCTGGTCTCTCTCTCTGGTCTCACTCTGGTCTCTCTCTCTGGTCTCACTCTGGTCTCTCTCTGGTCTCTCTTTCTAGTCTCTCGCTCTCTGTTCTCTCTCTGGTATGTCTCTGGTATCTCTTTCTGGTCTCTCTGATCTCTCTGGTATCTCTCTCTCCTGTCTCTCTCTCTGGTCTCTCTCTCTGGTCTCTCTCTGGTATCTCTGTCTGGTCTCTCTCTGGTCTCTCTCAGGTCTCTCTGGTCTCACTCTGGTCTCTCTCTCTCTAGTCTCTCCTCTGGTCTCTCTCTGGTCTCTCTTTCTAGTCTCTCGCTCTCTGTTCCCTCTCTGGTATGTCTCTGGTATCTCTTTCTGGTCTCTCTGATCTCTCTGGTATCTCTCTCTACGGTTTCGCTCTCTGGTCTCTCTCTGGTCCCTCTCTCTGGTCTCTCTCTGGTCTCTCTCTCTGGTCTCTCTCTATTCTCTCTCTCTCTCTCTCTCTGGTCTCTTTCTGGTCCCTCTCCCTGGTCTCTCCATCTGGTTTCTCTCTGGTAGCTCTCTCTGGTCTCACTCTGGTCTCTCTCTCTGGTCTCACTCTGGTCTCTCTCTGGTCTCTCTTTCTAGTCTCTCGCTCTCTGTTCCCTCTCTGGTATGTCTCTGGTATCTCTTTCTGGTCTCTCTGATCTCTCTGGTATCTCTCTCTACGGTTTCGCTCTCTGGTCTCTCTCCCTGGTCTCTCCATCTGGTTTCTCTCTGGTCGCTCTCGTTCATTATGACCTTTTCAACAGTAATCTCGAACCCTCTAAAGGACCCTTTACATATGTGGATTTGAACATAAACTAGTTGGAGCCACTTTACTTATATGGGCATTTATTCCGCAGCGTAATGTTTTGCCTTGGGACAGGGACAGATGTGTTAAGCTGGAGTTTCCCCCGCAAATGGCAAATGGCGCAAATGGCATCTGATTGGTCAATCCATATATGGCTCATATCTGGATTCACAGAGAGAATACTAGAACATAAACACCAGCATCATAGAGAGCAGTGTGAAATGGTGAATGTGACACAAATAGTTACTGGAGGAGGAGTCAATAGGAGCCAGAGTGAGTTGGATCAAAACTTCACCATGAGCACTTCCCTATTGGGCTTCATTAAGCTAGCATGATGGCATTAATCTTTATACAGTTTATGATCTAAACACAACTACAGGTCTGTTTGTGTTGTTTTTTCTCTAATCTCTTTCTGGTCTTTCTCTAGTCTCTCTGTCTCAGGTTTCCTCTAGTCTTTCGCTCTGGTATCTAGTCTCTCTCTGGTCTTTCTCTAGTCTGTCTCTGGTCTTTCTCTAGTCTCTCTGGTCTTTCTCTAGTCTGTCTCTGGTCTTTCTCTAGTCTCTCTGGTCTTTCTCTAGTCTCTCTGGTCTTTCTCTAGTCTCTCTCTGGTCTTTCTCGTGTCTCTCTGGTCTTTCTCTAGTCTCTCTGGTCTTTCTCTAGTCTCTCTCTGGTCTTTCTCTAGTCTCTCTGGTCTTTCTCTAGTCTCTCTGGTCTTTCTCTAGTCTCTCTCTGGTCTTTCTCGTGTCTCTCTGGTCTTTCTCTAGTCTCTCTGGTCTTTCTCTAGTCTCTCTCTGGTCTTTCTCTAGTCTCTCTCTGGTCTTTCTCTAGTCTTTCTCTAGTCTCTCTCTGGTCTTTCTCTGGTCTTTCTCTAGTCTGTTTCTGGTCAGTTGAATGTTGTCTCTTCTGTGTAGTTGAGTGTTCTGAGCTTCACCTGGAGTCGGGCCACACAGTGCACAGCAGCAGACGGGTTCTTCAGCTGCAGACGCTCCTTCAGCAGGTTACTGCCGTAGGCGAAGTACAGGAAGGTGCTGGAGGTCTCCATGAGGTCCACTGAGATCCACTGAGATCCAGAAGCCAGAGCGCAGTGTGAGAGCAGGGGGCAGGACAGAGGAGGACCAGGGGCCAGGGGTACCACTCATTCACATGTAAATGCACCGGTTCTGGTCACACGCCAGGACACGTGGGGACACTAAACTACAATAGGTGTCCATGTGACATCACAGCTTTCCAAAGAGCCTATAGTTAAACATTGTGGTGGAGGACAGCAGTAACATCATTACTGATAACTATGGTGACTGTGGTATGTGTAAAAAGTCCGATTTTAGTCTGAGTTTACTACTTTCTTTGTAATTCCTTGATGACAAAGAAATTAGCCCTGGTTCTAACCTGGTTGAGCTGGTACTAGAGTTTTGACGACAGTGATGGGGCAGAGAACTGATGGAAGCCATGGTTACCAAGTAATTTGGACGCTGTTTTCTGTGGGTAGGTTGCTAGGATACGGTACGAGACTAAAGCATAATGGAAATGGAAATGGAGAGCTTGAACACATGAATACACACATACACACACACACACACACACACACACACACACACACACACACACACACACACACACACACACTCTTACAAAGTCTTCATTCAGATTTGTCCATTTTTTACAAGTTGAAAGAAAAACTGATTGAAAAAATTCTGAATGAAGACCTTGATACACCTTGAGTGTAGAGATGTGTGTGGCAAGTCAAATTGTGTGTATGTGTGTGTTTTCATGTCTAATTGTATTGTTTGTTGAGCATGTTTGCCAGCCTCCAAACAGTAACTTAAATAATTTGGTTCAGAAATATCAGTTATACACAAGTAATCTGTCAAATTACCTTCAAAATAAAAAATTAAAGACAAAGAATTATTTTATTATCCGCCAGAGCAGATATTACTGTTTAAAGTACGGCCAGTAAACGCCATCACTCTTATCAGACCATCACGCCGTCCCCGCAAACACACATTTCTGGAAACACATACTGTATTTGAAAAACTTCAGAAAGAAATTCCGAATGACTCCAGTGAAGTTTGTGAGGAGACGTTTATACCAGAAGCCAGAGCCTGAGGGTTCTGTGCAGTCTCTCTGCTGTTCCACTCCACCCAGACTGACGTTAACAGGTACAGTCTGTTTCCTCTTCAGTAGATTATTGGCAGACTACAATAGAAAGTGCTCTATGTCGCCACCTACTGACGACTGTACAGTTTATAACTATGACGGACAAAATAATGCAAATTAAATGTATCGCTCCTATGGCCAACTCATGATATGATTAAAATCTCTACGTCAGTGTAATATCTCCAGGGTGTAGCTTGAAAATAATAAAAACCCAATGAACCCTTGCTTCCAATCCACTTTATTTGTATAGCACATCTTATAAACAAACAGTTTCAAAAGTGCGTTACATTGATACAAAATAATATTCACTCACACGACAGCCAGGTTTGATAATCAAGTAACAGTGAATTCAAAATGTCAATAAATAATAAACAAGCCCCCTCACCTGAAAATGAAATCATAAATGCAATCCTGACTTATCATTAGGAAAACACATCTATTCAAAATACCAAACATTTTGTGTGATGGAAAACACTGAGACACACACTTGAAAACACTGACTTACAAAACACGACACACATCAGACACAAACAGGCCTCAGTTTAGCCATTTTCAGAACTTTGCAAGTATGGAGGACGAGCAAGAGGTAGAGAGAGAGGAAGACAAGGAGAGGAGGACGTGGTTGAAGATATTTCTGATGACATTAAAGCAACTTTTGTGGATCATGTGATCGATCCTGGCCTCACACTGAGGGAAGAAGAGAGTCACAGCTCCATCATCAGGACCTTCAGATGGAAACATGTCTCCAACTCTCTACTGCAGACTGTATCTACAGTATTTACAGTACTGAGTCACATGTACTGTACTGCAAGTACAGTACAGTACATGCACCATTGAAAAATGGTAGTTTTGTGAAACACACAATACAGTAAAGATCCTAGTACTGAGATGTTACAGTATACAGTATACTGTACTGTAAAAAACTAAACCTTTAGTAACAATTTGTGGTTGCATATTTCTACAGAATGACTAGAAGAACATCTCAAGGAGGAGGTGGTCGGCAACTGTTCACCAACAGCAGGAACAGTCCGAGCAGGGACCATGATCCAAAAGTCCACACGCACAACTGCGACAGTAGCTCAGTTGGTAGAGCATTGGCCTTAAGGCCAGAAGGTCGTGGGTTCAATTCCCACCTCTGCACCTTCTCCACCGACTCCTGCTGATGACTGCTGTCGTTGTGTCCTTGGGCAAGACACTTAACCCCACTTTGCCCAAAGCCCCCACTGAAAGATCAAGGCTATGCTCTCACTCAGAGAGCAGCCGTCCTCCTGTGGACTCACCACCTGCAGAGGGTCAGTGAGGGGCTGGTGCTATGAGACTTGGGTGGCATCTCTGACTGTCACCCCCCTGACCCAGAAATGGATTAAAGGGTAGAAAATGGATGGATGGATGGATGGATTGACACAAATGCAGTTGAGCATACTGTAGTACTGTGTTGTACAGTATACTGTAGTACTGTGTTGTACAGTATACTGCAGTACTGTGTTGTACAGTATACTGTAGTACTGTGATGTACAGTATACTGTAGTACTGTGTTGTACAGTATACTGTAGTACTGTGATGTACAGTATACTGCAGTACTGTGTTGTACAGTATACTGTAGTACTGTGATGTACAGTATACTGTAGTACAGTGATGTACAGTATACTGTAGTACTGTGTTGTACAGTATTAAGTTGATGTTATTTGTAACCTTTCAGTACTTCCTAGTTGTTGGTTTGGACACTTACTTCACATGGCACTATTCATTCGACAACACAAAGTTAATAAAGGAATACAGGATTTTTAGGAAAGAACCGCCCTCTCCTCTTTTTGAACAACTCTCCGGTCTTACTTGACGAGCATGTATCCACAGAATGATTGACAATTAGGAGGACCAATAGTCTTGATGATCCACTCGGAGGTAGATATTCCTCCTATATACAGTACCTTTAGCCCAGCGACTGAGAGCCTCTGTAGCACAAGGTAGACCCATCACTGCATTCAAACCCACGCCCACTTTTCATTTAAAACGAGAGTTCCACCAATGTTATTTTTGTTTGATCATAAAACATTAAGGCCATACAGAGACATCAAAGCTAAATGTGTCTCCTCTCTTTTCCCTTTACAAACCCCAATCCTGCTTTTGTCATTAGACCAACTATTGCTTGAACTGCATAATGAGACAACATTCAACTGACCAGAGAAAGACCAGAGAGAGACCAGAGACTGAGACTAGAGACTGAGACTAGAGAAAGACCAGAGAAAGACCAGAGAGTTTTGTAGCACAGTCATAAATGCACATGTAAGGATAAGTGGGTGCGTTTTCTGCTGCTGGAAACCTGGATTTCTCCTAACAGGGATCAATAAAGTATCTATCTATCTATTCGTGACCCCCAATGAAGGCATCCGATTGGTCAGTCATTAGGGCCATATCTGGATTTAGAAAGACAAGATCAAATCAAAAACACCAGGATCATCAGCAGAGTTTCCAATGGCCCTGTTTAGCTGGTACCAGGAACCTTTTCAGTCCCTCGTGGCCCTGGTTCTCATTTATCGGACAGAGTAATAAGCAAAAACGGCTTCGTGCATGTTGTCATAGTTTGAGGATTCATCGTAGTGTAATGAGTTTGACAACAGAGCATTTGGACAGAAGGGGATGTTTGTGCCAGAAGTTCCTGCGTGGATGGAGCTAAACACAACAACAGGTCTGCTTTTGATGAAGAACAAAGCTGTGGTCTTTTATTGACTTTTTTTAAATGAATGTATCCATATCTAGATTATCTTCTCGGTCATTGTTTTAATAAATTAATCTTTTACTTTTGAAATGTGAGTTGTTCTACATTTAACTTTCAGAGCATTGATTTTCCACAAGAGATGAGAAAGTGCTGGTTACCATAGCAACACTGTTTAGCAACCATAGCAACTGATTCTGTATTTCAAGTTATATTCACCGGTTTTAGCACTTACTAAAAGTGTAGAAATATTTAAAATAAAAAAAATAAAAGCATAAATTACTAGATTTGTCCATGGTTTACTGTTTTGTGCGTACATTATCTGTGTAAAAACACTTTGGTAAAAACATGGAATAATACCGAGTGAAGACTTTGTAAATGTGTGGAAATGTGCGTGGCAAGACAAAAAGTGTGTGTTCATGTCTTATTGTGTGTATTGAAGAGTCAGACAGCCTCCAAACAGTCACTAAAATCCTTCATGATCGATCAATCATTCGGGCTCTTTTGGATTTAGAAAGACAATGTCAGAACTAAAACACAAGGATCATTAAATTACTTAATAGTTATGAATAATAAATAGGTGAAAAACTATACATTTATTTTGAGAATTTCTAGTTCTAGTGTTAACTAAGGTGAGTCTGTAGGTGGCGCTGCATCATAGACCTCTGTGTGAAGCCTTTGGCGCAGACTGAGCAGCTGAAGGGTTTCTCCCCTGTGTGAGCTCTCAAGTGTTTGTACAACTCACTGGAAAAGTTAAAAACCTTGGAACAAATGGTGCAGCTGTACGGTCCGTGTGTCTGGTCCCTCTGCGGTGAGGGAGTTTTTAGATTTACACTTTCCTCTGCAGTTTTTCCATCATTCTTCACATCCATCGACCTCTCCAGAAACGTACCCTCGGACTTGAGCTCGTCTCCGCTGACTGGAGCTGCAACTACTGTTTTCAAGTGGCTTTTTGAGAAGTTATTGACGGGAAAGTCCAGGGAACAACCAGGAGACAAGAGCAGTATCTCTCCTACGTGAATGGTTTGTCTTTGAAGGAAAGAAAGAAAATCAGAGACTGAGCTTGTGTCCATCGTTTGCATGTTACTTTTTAATGAACTATTTGTCGGAAAATCCACTGAACGAGCAGGAGACAAGTTCAATCTCTCCTCTACGCGAACGGTCTGCCTTTGATTTTCCTTCTTTCCTATAGAGACTGAACTGGTCATTCGCAAACGATGGATGTTTTTTGATGACTCATTGGTCGCAGAGTCCACAGAGCGACCGGGAGGCTCAGAAGGAACAGTTTCACTTTGACTTCTTCCAGACTCTAGCTTCTCGTCACGGATCGCACTCTGATGTTTCTCTTTCACGTGTTGCAGCATATTCTTCAGCAGTGTGAACCCTTTCCCACAAACCCAGCAGCCGATTAGCTTCCCCCAAGAGTGAGTCCCGACGTGTGACATCAGCTCAGTGCGATCTTCAAACTCCAAACTGCAGATTGTACATTTCAGTGGTCTAGTCTTCTTAATCCGCTTCTGTTTTTCCTCCAGAGTCTTTGCTGTGATGTGAATCTGCATATGTCGCTTCAGAAAAATTGGTTTAGGAAATTCTTCTGAGCAAAACTGACATTTGAGTGTCTCAAAGTCAAGCTTTTCCTGGCAACTCAAATAGCTCTTCTTGTGACTGTCCATGTGCTTTTGTAGATCCTCTTGCTGGTTAAAACGGGTCTTACAAACTGAACATCCGAATGGCAGCTCTGTGTGAGTTCCCATGTGCATCTTGAGGCCAAGTTTTGTTTGATAAGTCTTTGGGCATAACGGACAAGTGATGTGGTTTTTTTCATGTCTCAACAACCTCAACCTTGACGTAAAAACTTTCTCACATTTAGAACACTGGTGCTTTTTCCCGTGGGTTTTCTTGTGCTGCTTGAGAAGGGTTTTACTGGTGAACGATTCCAGACAGAGCGTGCACTTGTGCGACTTCTCTTCTGTATGTGTCCGCAGATGTCGTGTCAGCAGCCTATTTTTGGCAAAGACCTTCGGACAGAACGTACATTGGATCGGTTTCTCTTCCACGTGGCTCATTTCGTGGCGCTCCAGGTTCCCCAGACGCGAAAAACCCTTCCAACAAAAAGAACAGCGGAACGGCCATTCCTCCACGTGAGTCCTGGCGTGTTGGTTCAGGTGGCATTTTCGTCCAAATTCCCTTTTGCAAATCGAACAGCGGAACGTTAACTCCCTGTTGTTCATTCTGTGGGTTCTTTCGTGCATCTTCAGCTTGGACAGTGACGTAAAACCTTCCCCGTATTCCGAGCAATTCACTCGACGGCAAAAGGTGCAGTTATCAGGCTCCTCGCCGTTGTGGAGGTGCCAGTGCTGCGTCCTCAGCGTCTTCTTGGAGAATTCTTCAGCGCACTCCGTGTACCTGACGTGGCGGTGTATGTTCCCCCTTTGTGAAAATGTCTTGGCACAAACGGGGCAGCTGTACGGCTTCTCCCCCGTGTGGATGCGGAGATGGTCAGTGAGGTGGCTGTTGGAAGCAAAACCCCTCTGACAGAACGGGCAGTGGAAAGGCAACTTGTCCTTATGCACCTTCAGATGATGTCTCCTCAAACTCAAGATGGAGCCAAATGTTTCTCCGCATTCTGAGCATTGCTGAGTGTTCTCCGCAGAACTGTTGAAGGCCCAGTCTTCTGTATCATCCGTGTCGCAGTCTGAGCTTTCGTTTTCGTGTTTTATCGGTTCCTGAAAAGCTGACAACTCCTGGAAGTCTGGGATGTGAACCTCTTCTGGTTCGGTTTTCACAAGTGGAAGAAGAGAGCTCTGAAAACCTGCAAGGAAAGAATAACATGTTAGAAAAGGTATTCTAGAGACCAGTATTTTCCAACCAGGGGTTACATCGAGCTCGAGTGACCACTTTTCTCTTCTGTGTCCTGCTTGTCACGATTATGTGCGAGTCGGAAAAACTTTCAATTATCCTGCCTTACTCCACAAAAAGTGCTCTATCAATAAAGTTGACTTGAAGTCACTACGTGGAAGAAATTACAATTTACTAGCACATCCACGGACAACATTATACAGCGACTGATGCAGAGGAAATCTGCAGGACTGGACGGGATAAGTCCCAGGCTGCTGAGGACCTGTGCAGACCAGCTCTCTGAGGTCCTCAGCTACATGTACAACCTGAGCCTCAGCCTTGAGAAGATCCCTGTCCAGTGGAAGACCTCCTGTGTGATCCCGGTTCCTAAAACAGCGCACGCCAAGGAACCGGCTCACTACAGACCATGAAGACCATGGAGCGGCTCATCCTCACCCATCTCCGCTCTGAGGTCAGCCCCACCCTGGACCCGCTGCAGTTCGCCTACAGGCCCAACATCGGAGTAGAGGACGCTGTCATCTACGCTCTCCCACCTGGAGCCCGCCGGGAGCGCTGTGAGGGGCATGTCTTTTGACTTCTCCAGCGCTTTCAACAACATCAGACCGGCACTGCTGCGGGGGAAGATGGAGGACGAGGGAGTGGACAGTCACCTCACTGCATGGGCCATCGACTACCTCTCAGAGCGACCACAGTACGTGCGGCTGCGCAGCTGTGAGTCTGAGGTGGTAGTCTGCAGCACTGGGGCCCCTCAGGGCACTGTCCTCTCACCGTTTCTCTTCACCATCTACACCTCAGACTTCACACACGACACACACAGCTGTCACCTGCGGAAGTTCTCAGACGACTCCGCCATCGTGGGCTGTGTGTCTGAGTGGAACGAACTGGAATATCAGTCGGTTATCAAGGACTTTGTCGACTGGTGTGAGTGCAACCACTTGTGCTTGAACACCAGTAAGACCAAGGAGATGATCATCGACTTCAGGAGAAAACCACTTTCCCACACGCTGCTGAACATCCAGGGGGAGGACATTGAGCTGGTGACAGCTTCAAGTACCTGGGTGTTCACATTAACAATAAACACTGGTCCCACAACACCAACGCCCTGTACAAGAAGGGCCAAAGTCGCCTCTTCCTTCTGAGGAGGCTGAGGTCCTTCGGAGAGAGCAGGCCTCTGCTCAGGACTTTTTATGACTCTGTGATAGCTTCTGCCATACACTACACTGCCGTGTGCTGGGCCCCGGGCAGCACAGAGCGGGACAGAAACAGACTGAACAAGCTGGTCAGGAGGGCCAGCTCCACTCTGGGCTGCTCCCTGGACTCTGTGGAGGAGGTGAGGGACAGGAGGGTGCTAGTCAAAGCCACCTCCATCATGAACAATACCTCCCACCCACTGCACAGGACTGTAGAGGAGCTGAGGAGCTCCTTCAGTGGAAGACTGAGACACCCTCAGTGCAAGAAGGAGCTCTACCGCAGGGCCTTTATCCCCACCGCTGTCAGACTGTACAACAAGTCACTTTAAGTCACTTGCACTAGGACTAAAAACCTGCACAACTATTGCCACTGTTTCTTTAATTGCCTTTTTATTGTACACAATATAACCTGCACAAATTATATTTTTTTGCCTTCAACATGTTGCAGTAATTCTATCCATGCCAAATGTGACATGTAAATTTCTCCTGTGTGAGATCAATAAAGTCTATCTTATCTTTTACAGCATACACACACAAAAAATACATAATACAGCACACAAACACTGGGGTGATGTGGTCTCAAACACTGGGGTGATGTGGTCTCAAACACTGGGGTGATGTGGTCTCAAACACTGGGGTGATGTGGTCCTAAACACTGGGGTGATGTGGTCCTAAACACTGGGGTGATGTGGTCTCAAACACTGGGGTGATGTGGTCTCAAACACTGGGGTGATGTGGTCTCAAACACTGGGGTGATGTGGTCCTAAACACTGGGGTGATGTGGTCTCAAACACTGGGGTGATGTGGTCTTAAAACATACAAGTTTTGAATTTGAATAAAACAAATGAGCAGAGAGGAACGAGCTTCAGTGTCATACCTTTACAATCAGGGTTCTGGTCCAGGTTCTGATTCTGGTTCAGGTTCGCACTGCAACACGAGATAATAAAATATAAATGTCATAAGTGATAGTGAATATTTAGTTGAGGTCATAAGATTACATAAACCTCAGCTATAATACTTTTCATCCGAGTTCCTTCCTTTCTTCCAAAATTCCTGACCTGTTTGTGTTTTCCTTACACTTTAGTATCTTGTACCGTATCCTAGCAACCTACCAACAAAAGATCATATCCGGAGAATTTCCTTGGTAACCATGGTTGTTTGCAGCACTCTGGCCAATCAGACTTGTGCTGTAAACTATAAGGTCATATATGAATACTTTTGCAAGAGTACAAAGATATCGTGATTTTGCTTTGACAGTAGTTTGTTGGTACAGTACAGATCTCTGCATGTTTGTACCTGTGTAACAAGAGATTAGTAAATCTTATTTGACAACAAGCATTGGGTTAAGTAGCTCCTTCCTGTGCTGACTGATAGCTATAACAACCCCAGCACATGGACCGGTTTAGGTCGTAGGGATAAGCATGAGGTCACGCAATTTTCTCTCTGTTGCATACTGCTTTTCAATGTGATCGTTACCATAGTTACCAGAGGAAAAACACTTGCTCGACAACCACCATTGATCTAGTGGCCTCACACACGGTCTGTAGCTACAGCAGACAACACCCCTAACAAACGTGGAACAATTTCAACTGGCTCCAACAATTGTATGGACTAGAGTTAACTTGATAAATTATAATGTTGCATCAGTTTTATACAGTGCTTTTTTGGACACTCAAAGATGATTCACATATCATTCATTTATTCTATACACAGTGGTGATAAACTACTACTATAGCCACAGCTGCCCTGGGGCACACTGACAGAAGCGAGGCAAGCAGTATGTTCCATCGGCCCAGCCGACCACCACCCAGACACACCGTACCCATTCTAGGCAATGCAGGTGAAGCGTCTTGCCTTTAAGGATACAAAGACAGTTTGGCACTTTACAGCAGCAGCCACAGCCGCCCCACTGTGGCACTTGGTTTTCCCAGAGGTCTCCCATCGCAGTACTAACCAGGCCCTGCCCTGCTTCTCTTCAGAGGTCTGACAGGATCTGGCTTTAACATGCAGTTCAATAGCAGTTGTCAAGCTATTTTTTCCCAAACTGTAACTATGGAAACTATCTGTGTCATAAAAAACATGGTACATGGTGTATTATAGTTTTTTTTTAATCAAGAAAACAAATGCATTTCAATTAATGCATTTAATATTTTACATTATTTTTTTTTAAATATTATTTCAAAGGTTCAACCCTCACTGTTCCTGGCATTGTCGCCTTTAAAGCCCTGTTTCCACCAGCCCTACTGGCTCTGCTTGTTCAAACTGACAGTGGTTGACCTGAGTGCTACTGGAAGGTATGGTTACCAAGGAATTTCCCCCGAATATGGGTTTGTTGTGGGTCGGTTGCTAGGTTACGGTAGAGTACAGCAGAGTAGGGCTGAAGGACAACAGTGTGGGTATAGGTTGTGCTCCTGTTGTATTGTGTTAATAAAGGTTAATATGGTTTTACTGAGCCTCAAAAACAAAACTGAATCCACTGTTTTTGTATGTTATGATTACATTATGTTATGATTACATTATGTTATGATTACATTATGATGTATGACAATTACAGATTATTTGATAGTTATTAGAGTCACACAAAAAAAACATTAGTTTTCAGACATATTCAAACATAATCCTGAGAGAAACCAAAGAGAGACCAAAGAGAGAGAGACCAGAGAGAGACCAAAGAGAGAGAGACCAGAGAGAGAGACCAGAGAGAGAGACCATAGAGAGAGACCAGAGAGAGATACCAGAGAGAGATACCAAAGAGAGAGACCAGAGAGAGAGAGAGACCAGAGAGAGAGCTAGACCAGAAAGAGAGAGAGACCAGAGAGAGGGACCAGAGAGAGAGACCAGAGAGAGAGACCAGAGAGAGAGACCATAGAGAGAGACCAGAGAGAGATACCAGAGAGAGAATACCAAAGAGAGAGACCAGAGAGAGAGAGAGACCAGAGAGAGAGCTAGACCAGAAAGAGAGAGAGACCAGAGAGAGGGACCAGAGAGGGACTACAGAGTTTACCAAAAAGAGAGACCAGAGACAAGTCTGAGAGAGACAAGTAAGAAAGATCTGAGATAAATCAGAAAAAGAGAGCAGGGAGAGACTAAAGAGAGAAACCAGAGAGTGAGACCAGAGAGTGAGACCAGAGAGTGAGACTTGTAAGAAACATTAGAGAGACCAGAGAGACTACAGAAAAACCATAGTTCATAGGTGCTGACAAAGAAGATGTGAAGCTTTAATTCAGAGTATTTGTCTAGTGTCTATTGGCCCAGGAATTACAAAAGAATTAGCTCTAAAATAAGACAGTTGCCATAGTTACCAGAAGAGATTTTTCCTCTGCCCTTCACCACAATGTCTGGAATGTGGTGATGTCACATGAACACAACAGGCCCTATAGCCTGCACTTTAGCATCGTTCATTCCCAGAGTCCATGATGAAAACACACTGTCATTTGTGTTGTTTAGTGGTGTTTGGTTTTTTTGCACAGCTGACACACAACACGTGGACAAACAGTGACAACAGTGCTGCTAACGCGCCAGCATGTGCGTAAAGGTGTCCAAACAGAGGGACCGCGGCCGTGCACTGACCTGTCCTCCCACGGCGTCTGCTCCTGCTTCACCTGGGCCATGGTGCGAGAGGGACGAGGCTGGAGCTCCACGTCAGCTCCCGGACTGAGGCTGCGAATGTCCGGGTCTGACTGAGAGCAGCAGCAGCAGCGGGGAGAGAGGAGAGAGCCACCGTGAGCACACCGAGGATCTGCTGCCCCCTGCTGGACAAGCTGCGCATGACCGGTGTGAGGTTTTGTGGTGGAACTACATCTATTAAAGTATTTGATCATGAGCCATAGAAGACGGAGTTCTGTTTTCCTTTCAGGCTAACAAATTCATGTAACAGAAGATATCATTATTGTGTCCCACAGTGGGTAATTTTCAGTGTTGCAGCGCAAAGACAGGACAGCAGCAAGAGCACACAAGGAACACACAGTACACGAGAACAGTTTCGACTCGACTCGACTCTACTCTACTACTCTACTCTACTCTACTCTACTCTACTCTACTCTACTCTACTCTACTCTACTCTACTCTACTCTACTCTACTCTACTCTACTCTACTCTACTCTACTCTACTCTACTCTACTCACTACTCTACTCACTACTCTACTCTACTCTACTCTACTCTACTCTACTCTACTCTACTCTACTCTACTCTACTCTACTCTACTACTACTCTACTCTACTCTACTCTACTCTACTCACTACTCTACACTACTCTACACTACTCTACTCACTACTCTACTCTACTCTACTCACTACTCTACTCTACTCTACTCACTACTCTACTCTACTCTACTCTACTCACTACTCTACTCTAGTCTACTCTAGTTTACTCTACTCTACTCTACTCTACTCACTACTCTACTCTACTCACTACTCTACTCTACTCTACTCTACTCTACTCTACTCTACTCTACACTACTCTACTCTACTCACTACTCTACTCTACTCTACTCACTACTCTACTCTACTCTACTCACTACTCTACTCTACTCTACTCTACTCACTACTCTACTCTACTCTACTCACTACTCTACTCTAGTCTACTCTAGTTTACTCTACTCTACTCACTACTCTACTCTACTCACTACTCTACACTACTCTACTCTACTCACTACTCTACTCACTACTCTACTCTACACTACTCTACTCTTCTCACTACTCTACTCTACTCTACTCACTACTCTACTCTACACTACTCTACTCTACTCACTACTCTACTCTTCACTACTCTACTCTACTCTACTCTACTCACTACTCTACTCTACACTACTCTACTCTACTCACTACTCTACTCTACTCTACTCACTACTCTACTCTTCACTACTCTACTCTACTCTACTCTACTCTACTCTACTCACTACTCTACTCTAGTCTACTCTAGTCTAGTCTACTCTACTCTACTCACTACTCTACTCACTACACTTCTCTACTCTACTCTACTCTACTCTACTCACTACTCTACACTACTCTGCACTACTCTACACTACTCTACTCACTACTCTACTCTACTCTACTCTACTCTACTCACTACTCTTGATATATGGTCTCATCAAATAATTCTTTGTCACAATTAAGTTTTCTTAATTCTAAAATTAAGATTATCTATCATTTATGTTTCATGGTGAAAATGTCAATTATTATTAACTCATTAACGAACAGACCTTTTTCAGATCAGGGAAGTGTGTTTTTGGGGGATTACATTTTGAAGAGCCATAGAATATTCACTTATTTGACTATACACACCCCAAGGGCATCAAATGGAAAGATTAGGCTCATATTTAATCTGCAAAAACGGTTTGTTTTTACTTTTTACCGTTTGTGAGCAATCTGCCATAGCACATAGTATAGCACACGTGTTGCTGACCAGAAAACAGAGAAAAGGGTTTTTGTAAACAGTGACATATCAAGCAGAAAAAGTGCTGTCTGTGCTGTCGTTACTATTATAGATCCATCCTCACTATCCTCTCTTCCCTTTGCTGATTTTTGACCCCACTGGTGGGGCAATACTGCACTCTACACGTGTCTATACAATGTACTGTATATCTGGATACTGGCTGATTTCTAGGTGCGCCAGACATTATTATATTCTTCTATCTTTCTTATATGTGTTATATGCCAGTGTTCCTAAAATACAGAACGTCTAAGACCGTCTTTGGCAGCCAATGAGCTAAAGCGACGCATTGTTTACTGTGCACTTCAGATAAACCTGGATTTGAACCCGGGTCACTGCAGGGAAAGTGATACCTGGTCCAGACCCGTTAGGAACGTAGCAAATTTAGCGTCAGATGAAACGTTTTTTATCCGCCCTCAAACGTCTCACTTTTTCATTTTTCAAAGGCCCTGATAGAAATCTTCGTTGTAGTCTTTGTTTTGTCATTACTGATTTGAGAACCATAACAAGACCTTTTGATTCCTGCGGCCACATGGTACTTTACCAGTGAGATTAGCTCAACGTGGTGAGTTCTGGCAACTCGGATCACAGACTTTCTGATTAGTGAAACAGTGGAGGGCGGGACGTCAAAATGAAAACAAAAACAAGATACAGGGGCTGTAAATCCAAGTTTGAAATTAGAATATTCCGGTTTAACTATTGTTTTCAGTTAAAGACGTATTGGAAAAAAGCATGGTTTATTATTGCATTTCGACATGTAAGGGTCATTTGATGATGACTTGACATGAAAATCTTACATATTGTTACTTTAATGCTTAGAAGGTCACATTTTTGACATATTAAAAAAACCTTCAAAGCACTGTCCAAAAATGTTAATGAATGTCTCGGATCAGGACATAACGACAACAGACATCAGTGGGAGATGATGCTTTTTAGCCCTCGCGCCTCCCGCCTCTCCGCCCTTGTTGTTGTTGAGCTCTGTCAGCCGCGATCACACTTCTTATAACAGGAGGGGGGCTCCCCGGGGATTGGTCTCGAGCGCTCTCTGTAATGTTATGACATACTCTATAAAAAGTTCATATCACACTGATGTATGTTGTCGTTATGTCAGATCGAGGACATTCATTACATTTTTGGTCATGTGCTTTGTAAGGTTTTTTTTTATATGTATCACTAAATGTGACCGTCTAAGCATTAAAGTAACTCGCTCTCGCGTATCGATTTTCATGTCATGTCTTATCATTAATATTGGACCACTTACATTGTCGAAATGCATATTAATAATCATGCTTTTTTCCATAGTCTCCATTTACTATTGCAAAACAACTAGTGTTACGGCTCTCGCTCGCCTCTGATTTAATCGCTCACTAATTGGCATTGTACAGCCCTGTTGTATCTTGTTTTTGTTTTTTCATTTTGAAGTCGCCTCCCTGTCACTAATCTGACAGAAGTCTGTGATCGAGTTGCCAGAATACAAGTTGAGTAATTCATTGGTAAAGTACATGTGGGCAGCAGGAAATTCAAAGGTCTTGTTATGGTTCTAATCAGTAATGACAAAACCAATCGGACTCAACGAATGATTTCTAATGGACCGCTTTGAAAAATTGAAAAGTGAGACGTTGAGGATGGGGGGATAGAATACGTTTAATTGACGCTATTTTGTACGCCTTCGCCTAAGGGTATGGAATGGGTATCATATCTTCCCGTGCAGTGACCGGGTTAAATCCAGGTGGTTTATTGAAGTGTGTGCACAGTAAACAATGGTTGTTTAGCTATTGGCTGCCAAAGACGGTCTTAGACGTTTCTGTATTTTAGGAACATGGATATATAACACATATAAGCTAAGATAGAAGAATATAATAATGTTGGCGCACTAGAAAATCTGCAGATGTACCAGTTTACAGTAATTGTATAGAACGTGTAGAGTGCAGTATTGTCCCACCAGTGGGGTCAAAAATCAGCAAAGGGAAGTGAGGATAGTGTAGGATGGATCTATAATAGTACGTCAGCACAGACAGACTTTTTGCTTGATTGTACATTTGTTGTTTACAAATCACTTTTCTTGTTTGTTGGTCAGAACGGTGTGCTATATATGTGCAATGGCTGGGGATTGCTCACAAACGGTTTATTTATAAAAGTAAAAACAAACGTTTTTGCAGATTAATTATTGAGCCTAATCTTTCCATTTGATGCCTTGGGGTGTGTGTATAGTCAAATAAGTGATATTCTATGGCTCATTAAAAATGTAATTCCCCAAAATAATTTACACTTCCTGATCTGAAAAAGGTTGTTCGTTAATGAGTTAATAATAATTGAATTTTCAACATGAACTCTTAAATGATAGATAATCTTATATTTTAGAATTAAGAAAACTTTATTGTGACAATGATTATTTGATGAGACCATATATCAGAAGTAGTGAGTTAGAGTAGAGTAGAGTAGAGTAGAGTGTGGACGTGTTGTGTAGTGAGTAGTGCAGAGTAGTGTAGAGTGTAGTGAGAAGGTGTAGAGTAGAGTAGAGTAGAGTGAGAAGTGTGTGAGTAGAAGTAGTAGGTGTGTAGGTAGAGTAGACTGAAGTAGAGTAGGTAGTAGAGTAGTGAGTAAGAGAGAGTAGAAGAGTAGAGTAGAGTCGCGCCCCGAGTGAGCTAGAGTACGTGAGTAGAGTATAGAGTAGAGTAGGTGAGTAGAGTAGAGTAGTGTTAGTGTGTAGAGTACAGTGAGTAGGAGTAGAGTAGAGTAGTGTAGTTGAAGAGTAGAGTAGTGTGTTCCTGGCCGCGAGTAGAGTAGTGTAAGAGTAGAGTAGTGAGTAGAGTAGAGTAGAAGTAGTGAGAAGAGTAGAGTAGTGTTGAGTAGAGTACGCCTCGAGTAGAGTGAGTAGTTAGAGTTGTGGAGAGTAGAGGAGTAGAGTAGAGTAGTGAGTAGATAGTGTAGTAGTGTTGAAGTAGAGTAGGAGTAGTAGAGTAGAGGTGGGGTAGGGTGAGTTGAGTAGGGTTGAAGAGTTGTGAGTAGAGTTGAGTAGTAAAGTAGAGTAGAGTAGGTAGAGTAGTGGTAGAGTTGTGTTAGTGTAGAGTAGCTCGAGTAGAGTAGTGTAGAGTAGAGGTAGGTGTGTAGAGTAGAGTAGTGAGTAGTAGTGAGTAGTAGAGTTGAGTAGAGTAGAGTAGAGTAGAGTAGTGGTAGAGTAGAGTAGTGTAGAGTAGTGAGTAGAGTAGAGTAGTGTAGAGTAGTGAGTAGTGTAGAGTAGAGTAGAGTAGAGTTGAGTAGAGAGTAGTCGTAGAGTAGATGAGTTGAGTAGTGTAGAGTAGTGTAGGTAGAGTGTAGAGTAGAGTAGAGTAGTGTTGAGTAGAGTAGAGTAGAGTAGTTTGTGAGTGGAGTAGAGTAGAGGTAGATGAGCCCCTGTTGTCGTCGTAGAGTAGAGTAGAGTAGAGTAAGTGAGTAGAGTAGTGTGTAGAGTAGAGTAGAGTGAGTAGAGTTGAAGTAGCGTAGAGTCGCGCGTCGCTCCGCTCGCGCTCGTGAGTTGTAGAGTTAGGTGAGTAGAGTGTAGAGTAGTGTTGAGTTGTTAGTGTAGAGTAGAGTAGGTGTAGAGTAGAGTAAGTGAGTAGAGTAGAGTAGAAGTCGAGTCGAGTCGAAAATGTTTCGTTGTACTGTGTGTTCCTGTGTGCTCTTGCTGCTGTACTGTCTTTGCGCTCTGTACACACTGAAAAAATTAACCACTGTGAGGACACACTATATTGTTATCCTCTGTTACATGAATTTGGCGCCTGACTCGCTTCCTGCCCGCCCGTAACAGCAGAACTTCAGTCTTTCTATGGCGATCAGAATCAATTACATTTAATAGATGATAGTTCCTCCACCAACTAACCGACCGGGTCATGCGCAGTTGTCCTAGCAGGGGGCCACGCAAGATCCTCGAGGTGTGCTCACGGTGGCTACTCTCCGCACTGCCCTCGCTTGCTGCTGCTGATATCAGTCAGACCGGACCTCGCTCGCTCGCACTCAGTTTCCGGGAGCGTGACGTGTGGGAGCTCAGCTGGATCGTCCCTCTCGACATTGGCCCAGGTGAAAGCTCGCCGCTCGAGCCCCCTCCCGCACAGTGCGGAGGGACAGGTCCACAGTGCACAGGCCGCCGCGCCTCAACGCGCGCGCTCCGCTGGACACCTTTACGAACTTGCTGCGCAGCACCGCGTTTTAGCAGCACTGATGTCTTGTTTGTCCTCGTGTAGTGTGTCAGTCTTGTGCACAAAATAACCAAACAAACATTCTAAAAAACAACAAATGACAGTGTGTTTTATCATGGGGACTTGGGAATGAACGGATGCCGCTCTTCGCTCGCACGCGCTCCCTAGTGGGTCCTGTTAGTGTTCATGTGAAATCACACATTCACGGACCTTGTGGTGAAGGGCAGAGGGAAAAATCTCTTCTGGTATACTATTGCGCAAATCTGTCTCTCGGCTTAGAGCTAATTTTTTGTAATTTACCTGGGCCAATAGGCATAGACACAACTACTTGAATTAAAGCCTCGCACTCACTCTGCCCTCTCTTTGTAAGCACCTATCGAAACTCACTGGTTATTTCTGTAGGTCTCTATGGTCTCTCTAATGTTCGTCCCTCGCTCCCCACCTCTCGCGCCACGCGCTCTCTGGTCTCTCTCTCTGGTTCTCTCTGGTTTCTGCTTTAGGTTCTCTGTCACGCTTCTTTTATGAATTTATCGCCGATCTTTCTTCTATTGATCTCTATCAGGACTTTGCTTGTGTCTTCTCTTTTTGGTTAAACTCTCTAGTCCTCTATGGGCCCTCTCTTGGTCTCTTCTCTCTCTCTGGTTCTCTCTCTCTATGGTCTCTTTCTCTTTGGTCTCTTCTCTCCGCGCGCACCTATTCCTCTCTACTCGTTGGTCATCTCTTTGGTCTCTCTCTGCTGGATCCACGCCCGCGCCTCGGTCTCTCTTATGGTCTCTCTCTCTTTGGTCCTCTCCACGAGGTCTCTTCTCTGGTATCTCTTCTTTGGTACTCTCTTAGGTCTCTCTTGGTATCCTCTTCGATCGTTCTCTAGGTCTATCTCTGGTCTTCTCATCACTGTCTTTCTGGGGTCTAGCTCCCCCCCCCCCACTCTCTTGTTCTATTGGTCTCTCTATATGGGTCTATCTCTCTGGTCTACTATAAACTGGTCGAGCGCTCTGCTCCCGCTCGTCCACCTGCAGTATCTGGTCTTCTTTGGGCTCTTAGGTATCTCTCTGGTCTCTTCTTGGGTCGCTATCTCTCGCGCCGCTATCTTAGGATGATTGTTTGAAAATATGTCTGAAACAAATAATGTTTTTTGTTGTGTGATCTAATAATTATCAAATTAATCTGTATTTTATTACAAGATAATCAAACAAAAACAGTGGATTCAGTTTTGGTTTTTGAGGCTCAAGTTAAAACCATATTAACCTTTATTAACACAAACTCGCTCACTTCAGCGCCTGGAGTCCCCAACCTGATAACCACATGGTGTTCTTCAGGCCTAATCTGCTGTTCTCTTACCGTAACTAGCAACGACCACAACACTACTCTCAATTTCGGCACGGGGGGGAGCAAATGCACACCGCCGCGGGTAAAACCTTGCTTTCAGTAAGCAATCAGGTCAACCACTGTAACTCGTTGGGCTACAAGCAAGAGCCAGTATGGTGGATGTGGATAACAGGGCTTTAAAAGGCGATATAATGCAGAGGAACACAGTGAGGGTTGAAACAGCCCCGCTGAAATATATAAACAAAAATAAATAAATGTAAAATATATAAATGCAATAATTGAAATTGCATCTCTGCTACTTCTTTAGATAAACAAATTAATAAACTATAATCCTCACACTCGCGCCGCTACCATGTTTTTTATGGACACAGATAGTTTCAATAGTTACAGACTCAGCGCCTCTCTCTCTCCTACCTCTCTCTCGCGCTTGGACATCTGCTATTGTGCAACACCTGCATGTTAAATAGCCAGATCCTGTCAGTACCTTGGAAGAGAAGCAGGGCAGGGCCGGGCTTTATTGGTTAGTGTACTGCGATGGGAGACCTCTGGTGCGGTACTCTCTCTCTTCCACATCCAAGGGCCACAGTAGGCGGTGCTTGGTCGCCGCACCGCGCTGTAAAGTGCCAACTGTCTTTGGTGTCCCACGCGTCTCTCGCGCCAGCCGCTCCACTGCTAACTGGCTAGTAGATGGGCGTAACCGCCGCGTAGTGTGGGGGGTGGGTCGGATGGGCCACCCCCCGCTCGCCGGATATGCTGTGCCGAGCTTCGTCTGCGTCCAGGAGTTGCCAGTGTGCCTATAGCTAGTAGCGCTCGTCTCCGCACTCACACGTAGGATATTGGTTTAAATGAAATGTAAATGATATGTTATATCCTTTGGAGGGTCAAAAAAAGACATCGGTAATAAAATGATGCAACCATATACTCGCGTTACTCAAGTTAATCTTTAGTCCATACAATTGGTTTGACGCCAGATATGGAAGTATGTTACTCAGTTTGTGAGGGGTGTTGTTTGCTGTAGCTACAAGAACACCGTGTGTTGAGGCCATAGATTAATGGTGGTTTGGTTGTAGAGCTAAGGGTTTTTCCTCTGGCCTCATCTATTGGTAAGCGATAACCATATTGAAAAGCAGTATGCAAACAGAGAGAGAATTGCGTGACTCCTATGCTTATCCCTACGTCCTAACGGATCCATGTGCTGGGGTCGCGCTCTCTCCATAGTACCAGTCAGAAAGGAAGGGAGCTCTCACTCGCTCACCACTCCTCGCCTTGTTGTCAAATAAGATTTATTAATGGCTTGTTACTCAGGTACCAACATGCGGATCCCGACGCCTCTCCCCTGTCCTCACCAACCAAATCTACTGTTGAAAGCAAAATTGTACGATATTTTTGTACTCTTGCACACAGTATTCATTATACATGACGTGTATAGTGAACAGCAAACAAGTTGATTGGCCAGAGTGCTCCCCCCGCCACCGCCAATCATAACCCAAGTGGTTTACCAAGGCGGAAATTCTGGGATATGATCTTTAGGTGGAAGGTTGCTAGGATACGGTACAAGGTTACTAAAGTTTATGGAAACACAACCCCAAGTCATAGGAATTTTGGAAGAAAGGAAGTGATACTCGGGATGAAAAAAAGTAGTAACTTAGTAAACAAAAAAATTAGGTTTTGAAAACGCCTGCTGCCTCGCACACGCGCTTTTACAGTGGAAATACGACTAATTTTGAGGATCATTGAGTCGGAAAATGACTTGGATTTTTGATCAATCACGTCAGGAATTTTATTGCTACAGAAATAAATTTTAAAAATTGATTTCTGCGTTAAATAACAAAACATTTCCTGCGCTCGCCGCCACATAGATGAGAACCCTTGACGTTTTTTCGTTTGTCCTCAAGAAAATAAAAGTCATCGTATCCACAAGTCATTCAGTTTTTATTTATTTATCAAAATATTTGATAAGCCACGCTCTCTCCGCCTCTCTTCATAATAATCGTATACGTACATAAATACTGTAACACTATGGTGTATCTCAAAGTTAGTTGAACTGATAGAGCACATATGATGTGATATTACTCGATATGAAACACCAAATGAGAAGGGTTCGTCGCGTCACTCCCTTGACCATTTTTTGGCGCGCGCGCAACTTGTGATATGTTCGCCACTCCCGCGCGTTTATGTAATCTATTGACATCTCACATAATTCACTTTCATATACGACATCTTAGTATTATATTTTTTGCTCTCGACGCCGTCGTTGCACTCGTGCCGGACCTGAACCAGAAATCAGAACCTGGAACAGAACCTGATTGTATTGGTATAGGTACACTGTACGCTCGTTCTTCTCGGCCTCACTCCGTCGCGCCTCTCTTATTCAAAATCAAAATTGTGTGTTTTAAGAACTTCGACTTAAAGTCAGCTGTTTGTGTGCTGGTTTATCGTTATTTTTTGGCTGTGTGTGGCATGTATAAGATAAGATAGAACTTAATTGGATCATCACAAGGAGAAATTTAAAGGCCTCATCATTTGGCATGGATAGGAATTACTGCAACATGGTTGGAAGGCAAAAAAAATAGTCTTTGTGCAGGTTATATTGTGATACAATTCAATAAGGCAATTGAAAGAGACGTTGGCAATAGTTGTGCTGGTTTTTAGGTCCTAGTGCAAGTGACATTAAAGTGATTGTTTGTACAGTCTGACATCGCCACGGTGGGGATAAAGGGCCTGCGGGGTAGAGCTATTCAGCCGCGCAATTGAGGTGTGCTCAGTACTTCCATGAAGGAGCTCTCTGTCAAGCGATTAGCAGTCCGCGTGCAGTTGGGTGAGGAGGTATTGTTCAGGACTGGAGGTGGGCTTTGAATGACCTCGGTCCCTCACCTCCTTCCACAGACGTTCGCAAATCGCGGAGCAGCCATGAGTGGAGCTGGCCCTCCGGGACTAGCTTGTTTCAGTCGCTCGCCGCGCGCACTCCCCGCCGACGCGCGCGCTCTGGGCTGGCCCGGGGCCCAGACAAGGCATGTTTGTGGAGTATGGCAGAAGACGCGCTCACTCGCTGCGTCATAAAAAGTCTGAGCAAGGGGAAAGGCCTGTGCTCTCCGAAGGTCCTCTGCTCATCAGTAGGTAGTGGCGTCTTTGGGCATTCTTGTTGCAGGGGCGTTTGTTTTAGGGAACAGTCCAGGGTTTATTGTTAATGTGAACTCCAGGTACTTGAAGATGGTCTCCAGTCACAATGTCCTGAAATGGTTGTTCTGACGCAGCGTGTGTAAGTGGTATCTCCTTCGCCTCAATGAAGGTCCGATGTTTCTCTTGGTTTTACTGGGGTCTCACTCCGAACAAGTGGTTGATCTCAATCCAGTCGACAAAGTCCGTGATACCCCCTGACCGATGCAGTTGTTCCCTCAGACAACAGCCAAGAAGGAGGTGTCGTATGAGAACTTCCGGGTGAGTGTGTGTGTGTGTGTGGAAGTGAGGTGTAGTATGTGATGAGAAAAAGGTGCTCCGCCTCAGGGACTGTTGCCTGAGGGCCCAGTGCTGCTGACTTCCTCATCTAGATCCCAGTTGCGCCAGCGACGTACTGTCGCGCTCGATTGAGAGGTCAGTCGATGGACGCACACACTCCGCGCCGCACAGTCGCTCCGGTGACTGTCATGTCTATCTTCCGCTGCAGTTGACCGCGCCGCCGCGCACGCGCGCTGTTGAAAGGTGGAGAAGTCAAAAGACTGCCTCCACAGACGCCCGGCGGGCTCAGGTGCGCGGTGAGCGTAGATGGAAAAGCGTCATCTTTACTACGATGTTGGGCTGTGGGCGAAACTGCTGCGGCGTACACGGGTGGGGTGTAACGGTGCGGTGATGGGTGCGGATGCAGGATAATGGTCTTCATGTAGGTTTGGGAGCGGTTTTGGGTGCGATTGTTTAGGAACGGGATCAACTGCGCCACGGGCATCCGCACCTCCGCGCCGCTCCGGCATCTTCGCAAGGGTAGGATAAGGTTAGTACATGTAGCTGAGGAATAGCGCTCGCGCGCGCGCGACTCACTGCGGCAATCAGCAGCATGGGGATAGCTCCTCACAACCGCCTCCAAGTCTGCAGATTTCCTATGCATCAGGTAGCTGTATAATGTGGGAAAGTGGATGTGCTAGTAAATATATGGATTTTATTCCGGTAGTGTCTTCATCCTCCGCCGATCTGCGCACTTCCCTTATTGTTAGAGGCACTTTTTGTGTGTATAGGAAGGATAATTGAATGTTTTTCAGATAGCACATAATCGTGTGACAAGAATGACTCAGAATTGAGGAAAGTGGTCATCCTGAGCTCGATGACCCTGGTTGGAAAAATATGGTCTCTAGAATACCTTTTTAACATGTTATTATTTCCTTCTGGTTTTCCAGAGCTTAATCCGCCTCCTTCAACTTGTGAAAACGAACAGTAATGAGGTTCACATCCCAGCATTAGGAGTTGGAAGTTTTCAGGGAAGCGTTCATAACACGAACAGAAAGTCAGATGCGACACGGCCTCCGGTTACAGAGATGGGCTTCATTGTTTGGGTGAACACCGCATGAATTGATAAGAATGCGGAGAAAAATTTGGTCTTTTGTGTTTGAGGAGACATTCTTCTGAAGGTGCCTCTCTCTCATAAGGAAAAGTTGCTTTCAAGCCGTTTTGTCAGAGGGGGTTTCGGTGTTTTGTTCCAACTGCACCTCGATGCCATATCGCATACAACGGGGGAGGTGAAGAGTACAGTGCCCGTTTGTTGCAAGAATTTTTCCCACAAAGGGGGGGGTGTGAAACTACACCGACATGTCAGGTACCACGGAGTGCGCTGGAAGGAATTCACAAAAGAGACGCTGAGGACGACAGCATGGACCTCCAAACGGCGAGGATGGGGGGCCTGGTTAACTGCAATTTGAGTCGGAGTGATATTTGTTCGGAAGGGGGAAGGTTTTACACCGCCTCATCCTGTCCAGGTGATGATGCCACACACACGGAAAAGAACACCCAAGCATGAAAACAGGGTGTGCCTCCTCCACGTTCCGCATGGTTCGATTTTGCAAAAAAGGAATTGGACGAAAAATGCACATGTATCCACTCTCTCCTCCTCAGCAGGATTACGTTCCCGGTGAATGGGTTCCGAGTTCTTTTGGTTGTGAGGGTTTTAGGTATGGGGAACCTGGTGCGCAACGAAATGAGCGCGCGCAGCTCGGCAGAGCCTCCTAACGATCTAATAGCGCTTCCGCCGCTCACTGTCCGAAGGTCTTTGCCCTTCCTCATAGGATGATGCACGAATTGAGGTCTCACCCTCGCTCCTCGCTCCTCGTGAAGTCGCACAAGTGCACGTCTGTATGGAATCGTTAACCAGTTTTCCTCCCTCCAACCTTTATAATAGCAGCACAGAAAACCACGGGTATCCTAATAGAAAAAAATAAATCAACAGGTGTTCTAAATGTGAGAGATAGTTTCCCTCTACGACAAGGCGTCGTGGTTGTATCTTCTCTTTCCTCTCCTCTCCCGTTTGCACGCCTCTGTTGTTGTTGAGAGCTCGCCCCCCCCTCCGCCTCCACATCACCTCACTTGACGAAAAACTTTCTCATTTGGAAACACTGCGCCGCCGCCACCGCCTTTTCCCGTGGGTTTTTTTGTGCTGTTGAGAAGGGTTTTGGTGACGTATCATGTCACTGCTCCGCCGCCTCGCAACTTGTGGAATTCTATTCTGTTTGTGTAGCCACTGATGTGACCGCGCCGCCTCGCGCACTCGCCACCGCGATTTTGGCATTAGACCTTCGGTAGAATGTTTTTGGTCGGTCGCGCACCGCCTACACGCCACAGTGGAGCTCATTTCGTGGCGCTCAAGGTTCCCCAGAGCGAAAAACTTCCAAACTATCCTACCTCTCCCGCCCTCTCCACCTCGCCACGGAACGGGACTCCTCACGTGAGTATGGCGTGTTGGTTCAGGTGGCATTTTCGTCCATATACCACTATTTGCAAATCGAAACGGGACGTTAAACTCCCTGTTGTCTTTTGTGGGTTCTTTGTGTGAACGAGCCTACTGTTGGACAGTGAGTAACTCCCTCCCCACCACTCCCCGATTCGAACATTTCACCGACGGCTAATGGTGCAGTTATATGGCTCCTCGCACCACGCCGCGCGCGGGAGGGCCAGTGCTGAGTAATCTGATATTCTTGGGAATTTTATGGCACTTAGTGTACTAAGTGGCGGTGTTTGTTCCCCTCGGCGCCTCCGCTCAAATGTCATTGGCACAAAGGGGCTGCTGTAAGGGCTTCTTTTCCGTGTTGGATGCGGACGCTCGCCCGCCGCCGCCACTACCCGCCGCGGAGGTGGCTGTTGGAAGCCAAACCTAAGTCCAGTAGGAAGGGATAGGGCAACTTGTCCTTATGACCTAACACGCGACTCCGCTCTCGCTCGCCTTCTCATCAAACTCCTCTCGCTCTGGAGAAAAATGGTGCTCACGCATGTCTGAGGCATGATGTGTGTTCTCCGGTTGAATACTGGTGATCGCGCACACACGCGCACCGCCGCACTCGCGCTCGCCCATCGTGTCGCGTCTGAGCTTTCGTTTTCGTGTTTTATCGGTTCTGATAAGTGACCAACTTGGAAGGTGGTGTGATACTCTTATCTGGTTCGGTTTTCAAAAGTGGAAGTATGAGCGAGCTATGATAACCTGCAAGAAAGAATTACTGTTTGAAATGGTTTATTATAGAAGACAGGTCTGTTTCGCCTACGGGTTACATCGAGCTCGAGTGACAACGTTTATCTTTGTGTATGCTGTCACGATTTTGTGGAGTCGGAAAAGCTGTCAAGTATCACTGCGCTTACATCCACAAAAAGTGATATATATTAATGTTGACTTGAATTGAAGTAATTCTGTAAAAAAATTACAATTATAGCCATCCGGTCAACATTATTCAGGTTGATGCAGAGGAAATCTGCAGGATGGCGGGATAAGTCCAGGTGGGAGGAATGTGACAGACCAGCTCTCTGAGGTAATCAGTACTGGACTCTCTGAGCCTCTGTTGAGAAGCTCGCACAGCGCGCAATGTGGAAGACTCATGTGTGATCCGGGATTCCTAAAACAGAGAACTCCAAGGAAGGCTCATACAGTACCTGAAGACCATGGAGCGGATCATCCATCCCATCTACGCTCGTGGTCAGCAACTCATGGACCCGCTTGCAGTTCGCTATACTGGCCCACTCACACTCGCCGGAGTAGTGGACGCTGTCATCTAGTCTCACTGGAGGACGCCGCGGCTCGCGTGTGAGGGGCTATGTATTCGCGCTCGCTCGCGCAGCCTGCTCTTTCAACATACATCAGCCGGCATGTGGGGGGTAGATGGTTGACGAGGGAGTGGACGTCTCCTCACTGCATGGGCCATGACACATATCTAGAGGGACCAAAGTCGTGGGTGCGCAGAGTGTGGGTCTTGTGGTTGGGTAGTCTGCGATGGGGACCTCAGGGCATGTCTCTACGTTTCTCTTTAACAATTAAAACTCAGACTTACACCGACACCACGCACGCGCGCCACACCTGCAGGATGTTCAGACGACTCCGCATGTGGGCTGTGTGTTGAAGGGGAAGAATGGATATCGGTCGGTTATCAAGGTATTCTTCAGTGTCTGTCGTGTCGCTCGACTCTCCCACTTGTTGCTTGAAACCAGTACGGACCTAGGATGATATCGACTCAGGGAAAACACTTTACCACACGTGATGACATCTGGGGGAGTGGACATTGAGCTCGGTGGCAGCTTCAATACCTGGGTGTTCCGTTAACAATAAACTGGCTCCGAGGCCTCACCACCATCCGCTCTCCTCTTCATCCTCTCACGCACACAGGCACACAAGAAGGGCCATTCGCCTTTCTTTGAGGAGGTGAGGCATTCGGAGTGTGCTGGCTTGCTTAGGACCTTTTATGACTCTGTCGGTAGGTTCTGCCATTTCTACCACTTGCCGTGTGTGGGCCCCAGGCAGCACAGAGCGGGGACCAGGAGCAGACTCCTGAACAAGCTGGTTCAGGAGGGCCAGCTCCACTCTGGGCTGCTCCATGGACTTGTGGACGGTGGTGAGGGACAGGAGGGTGCTAGTCAAAGCACTCATCATGAACTCTCGCTCACCGCCCCTCCACTGACTGGGACACGCGCCGCTGCTCGCGCCTCGCGCGTCGCGCGCTCGCTTTCCGTGGAATTGAGGGAAACCCTCTGTGCAAAGAAGGAGCTCTACGCAGGGTTTATCACATACGTGTGACTGTACAACATGTCACCAGCGCTCTCTGCGCATCGCTGAAGAGGATACAAAACTGAAAATATAATGCCACGTTTCTTTAATAGCTTTTTATTGTAACAATATATACTGCACAAACTTATTTTTTTGCCTTTCAACTTGTTGCGTAATTATAACATAGCACAAAATGTGTATGTAATTTCTCCTGTGTGAGATAATAAGTTATCTCGCTCGCATCGTCGCTCCAACGAACAACACATAATTACTATCAGCACACACTGGGGTGTCGGTAGGTCTTAAAAACACCAAGTTTTGCAATTTGAATAAAAAATGGCAGGAAGATCGAGCTTCCAGTGTTTACCTTTACCATAGGTATGGTAAGGTTTTTTTGGTTTCAAGGTCGCACTGCAATCGAGATAATAAAATATAAATGTCGTTTGTGCGTAGTGATTATTTAGTTGATGTATAGATTAATAAACTCGGCATAACACAAAGTTGAAGCCATATAATGGTAGGGTTTCTAACCCTTCTATTGGTGTTCTGCGTCCGAATATCACATGCATTTGTCTCTATCAGGTCAACTATTTGAGATACAGCTGAGTGTAACGGATAACGTACGTCTAGGCTTCTGATGAATCTGCTTTATCAAATGTGAATGGAGTAATATAAAAACTGAAAGACTTTGGATACGTTGACTTGTTATTTCTTGAGGAAAAACGGAAAAAACAAAAAGACAAGGGTTTTCGTGTGATGTCGATGTCTCGTGTTTTTTTGCAAAATCGATTTTTAAAAAATATTTTGTAGCAAAAATGCCTGACGTGATTTGAGCAAAAAACCAAGGTATTCTGTATCAGAGCTCAAATTTAGTTATTACTGGTCAAAACATGGCACTATTATCAAATATATTTTTTTTGTTTAAAGGTCTACTACCAACAAAAGATCATATCCGGAGAATTTCCTTGGTAACCATGGTTGTTTGCAGCACTCTGGCCAATCAGACTTGTGCTGTAAACTATAAGGTCATATATGAATACTTTTGCAAGAGTACAAAGATATCGTGATTTTGCTTTGACAGTAGTTTGTTGGTACAGTACAGATCTCTGCATGTTTGTACCTGTGTAACAAGAGATTAGTAAATCTTATTTGACAACAAGCATTGGGTTAAGTAGCTCCTTCCTGTGCTGACTGATAGCTATAACAACCCCAGCACATGGACCGGTTTAGGTCCGTAGGGATAAGCATGAGGTCACGCAATTTTCTCTCTGTTGCATACTGCTTTTCAATGTGATCGTTACCATAGTTACAGAGGAAAAACACTTGCTCGACAACCACCATTGATCTAGTGGCCTCACACACGGTCTGTAGCTACAGCAGACAACACCCCTAACAAACGTGGAACAATTTCAACTGGCTCCAACAATTGTATGGACTAGAGTTAACTTGATAAATTATAATGTTGCATCAGTTTTATACAGTGCTTTTTTGGACACTCAAAGATGATTCACATATCATTCATTTATTCTATACACAGTGGTGATAAAACTACTACTATAGCCACAGCTGCCCTGGGGCACACTGACAGAAGCGAGGCAAGCAGTATGTTCCATCGGCCCAGCCGACCACCACCCAGACACACCGTACCCATTCTAGGCAATGCAGGTGAAGCGTCTTGCCTTTAAGGATACAAAGACAGTTTGGCACTTTACAGCAGCAGCCACAGCCGCCCCACTGTGGCACTTGGTTTTCCCAGAGGTCTCCCATCGCAGTACTAACCAGGCCCCTGCCCTGCTTCTCTTCAGAGGTCTGACAGGATCTGGCTTTAACATGCAGTTCAATAGCAGTTGTCAAGCTATTTTTTCCCAAACTGTAACTATGGAAACTATCTGTGTCATAAAAAACATGGTACATGGTGTATTATAGTTTTTTTTTAATCAAGAAAACAAATGCATTTCAATTAATGCATTTAATATTTTACATTATTTTTTTTTAAATATTATTTCAAAGGTTCAACCCTCACTGTTCCTGGCATTGTCGCCTTTAAAGCCCTGTTTCCACCAGCCCTACTGGCTCTGCTTGTTCAAACTGACAGTGGTTGACCTGAGTGCTACTGGAAGGTATGGTTACCAAGGAATTTCCCCCGAATATGGGTTTGTTGTGGGTCGGTTGCTAGGTTACGGTAGAGTACAGCAGAGTAGGGCTGAAGGACAACAGTGTGGGTATAGGTTGTGCTCCTGTTGTATTGTGTTAATAAAGGTTAATATGGTTTTACTGAGCCTCAAAAACAAAACTGAATCCACTGTTTTTGTATGTTATGATTACATTATGTTATGATTACATTATGTTATGATTACATTATGATGTATGACAATTACAGATTATTTGATAGTTATTAGAGTCACACAAAAAAAACATTAGTTTTCAGACATATTCAAACATAATCCTGAGAGAAACCAAAGAGAGACCAAAGAGAGAGAGACCAGAGAGAGACCAAAGAGAGAGAGACCAGAGAGAGAGACCAGAGAGAGAGACCAAAGAGAGAGACCAGAGAGAGATACCAGAGAGAGATACCAAAGAGAGAGACCAGAGAGAGAGAGAGACCAGAGAGAGAGCTAGAGAGAGAAGAGAGAGAGACCAGAGAGAGGGACCAGAGAGAGAGACCAAGAGAGAGACCAGAGAGAGAGACCATAGAGAGAGACCAGAGAGAGATACCAGAGAGAGATACCAAAGAGAGAGACCAGAGAGAGAGAGAGACCAGAGAGAGAGCTAGACCAGAAAGAGAGAGAGACCAGAGAGAGGGACCAGAGAGGGACTACAGAGTTTACCAAAAAGAGAGACCAGAGACAAGTCTGAGAGAGACAAGTAAGAAAGATCTGAGATAAATCAGAAAAAGAGAGCAGGGAGAGACTAAAGAGAGAAACCAGAGAGAGACCAGAGAGTGAGACCAGAGAGTGAGACTTGTAAGAAACATTAGAGAGACCAGAGAGACTACAGAAAAACCATAGTTCATAGGTGCTGACAAAGAAGATGTGAAGCTTTAATTCAGAGTATTTGTCTAGTGTCTATTGGCCCAGGAATTACAAAAGAATTAGCTCTAAAATAAGACAGTTGCCATAGTTACCAGAAGAGATTTTTCCTCTGCCCTTCACCACAATGTCTGGAATGTGGTGATGTCACATGAACACAACAGGCCCTATAGCCTGCACTTTAGCATCGTTCATTCCCAGAGTCCATGATGAAAACACACTGTCATTTGTGTTGTTTAGTGGTGTTTGGTTTTTTTGCACAGCTGACACACAACACGTGGACAAACAGTGACAACAGTGCTGCTAACGCGCCAGCATGTGCGTAAAGGTGTCCAAACAGAGGGACCGCGGCCGTGCACTGACCTGTCCTCCCACGGCGTCTGCTCCTGCTTCACCTGGGCCATGGTGCGAGAGGGACGAGGCTGGAGCTCCACGTCAGCTCCCGGACTGAGGCTGCGAATGTCCGGGTCTGACTGAGAGCAGCAGCAGCAGCGGGGAGAGAGGAGAGAGCCACCGTGAGCACACCGAGGATCTGCTGCCCCCTGCTGGACAAGCTGCGCATGACCGGTGTGAGGTTTTGTGGTGGAACTACATCTATTAAAGTATTTGATCATGAGCCATAGAAGACGGAGTTCTGTTTTCCTTTCAGGCTAACAAATTCATGTAACAGAAGATATCATTATTGTGTCCCACAGTGGGTAATTTTCAGTGTTGCAGCGCAAAGACAGGACAGCAGCAAGAGCACACAAGGAACACACAGTACACGAGAACAGTTTCGACTCGACTCGACTCTACTCTACTCACTACTCTACTCTACTCTACTCTACTCTACTCTACTCTACTCTACTCACTACTCTACTCTACTCTACTCTACTCTACTCTACTCTACTCTACTCTACTCTACTCACTACTCTACTCACTACTCTACTCTACTCTACTCTACTCTACTCTACTCTACTCTACTCTACTCTACTCTACTCACTACTCTACTCTACTCTACTCTACTCTACTCACTACTCTACACTACTCTACACTACTCTACTCACTACTCTACTCTACTCTACTCACTACTCTACTCTACTCTACTCACTACTCTACTCTACTCTACTCTACTCACTACTCTACTCTAGTCTACTCTAGTTTACTCTACTCTACTCTACTCTACTCACTACTCTACTCTACTCACTACTCTACTCTACTCTACTCTACTCTACTCTACTCTACTCTACTCTACTCTACTCTACTCTACTCTACTCACTACTCTACTCTACTCTACTCTACTCACTACTCTACTCTACTCTACTCACTACTCTACTCTACTCTACTCTACTCACTACTCTACTCTACTCTACTCACTACTCTACTCTAGTCTACTCTAGTTTACTCTACTCTACTCACTACTCTACTCTACTCACTACTCTACACTACTCTACTCTACTCACTACTCTACTCACTACTCTACTCTACACTACTCTACTCTACTCACTACTCTACTCTACTCTACTCACTACTCTACTCTACACTACTCTACTCTACTCACTACTCTACTCTTCACTACTCTACTCTACTCTACTCTACTCACTACTCTACTCTACACTACTCTACTCTACTCACTACTACTCTACTCTACTCTACTCACTACTCTACTCTTCACTACTCTACTCTACTCTACTCTACTCTACTCTACTCACTACTCTACTCTAGTCTACTCTAGTCTAGTCTACTCTACTCTACTCACTACTCTACTCACTACACTTCTCTACTCTACTCTACTCTACTCTACTCACTACTCTACACTACTCTGCACTACTCTACACTACTCTACTCACTACTCTACTCTACTCTACTCTACTCTACTCACTACTCTTGATATATGGTCTCATCAAATAATTCTTTGTCACAATTAAGTTTTCTTAATTCTAAAATTAAGATTATCTATCATTTATGTTTCATGGTGAAAATGTCAATTATTATTAACTCATTAACGAACAGACCTTTTTCAGATCAGGGAAGTGTGTTTTTGGGGGATTACATTTTGAAGAGCCATAGAATATTCACTTATTTGACTATACACACCCCAAGGGCATCAAATGGAAAGATTAGGCTCATATTTAATCTGCAAAAACGGTTTGTTTTTACTTTTTACCGTTTGTGAGCAATCTGCCATAGCACATAGTATAGCACACGTGTTGCTGACCAGAAAACAGAGAAAAGGGTTTTTGTAAACAGTGACATATCAAGCAGAAAAAGTGCTGTCTGTGCTGTCGTTACTATTATAGATCCATCCTCACTATCCTCTCTTCCCTTTGCTGATTTTTGACCCCACTGGTGGGGCAATACTGCACTCTACACGTGTCTATACAATGTACTGTATATCTGGATACTGGCTGATTTCTAGGTGCGCCAGACATTATTATATTCTTCTATCTTTCTTATATGTGTTATATGCCAGTGTTCCTAAAATACAGAACGTCTAAGACCGTCTTTGGCAGCCAATGAGCTAAAGCGACGCATTGTTTACTGTGCACTTCAGATAAACCTGGATTTGAACCCGGGTCACTGCAGGGAAAGTGATACCTGGTCCAGACCCGTTAGGAACGTAGCAAATTTAGCGTCAGATGAAACGTTTTTTATCCGCCCTCAAACGTCTCACTTTTTCATTTTTCAAAGGCCCTGATAGAAATCTTCGTTGTAGTCTTTGTTTTGTCATTACTGATTTGAGAACCATAACAAGACCTTTTGATTCCTGCGGCCACATGGTACTTTACCAGTGAGATTAGCTCAACGTGGTGAGTTCTGGCAACTCGGATCACAGACTTTCTGATTAGTGAAACAGTGGAGGGCGGGACGTCAAAATGAAAACAAAAACAAGATACAGGGGCTGTAAATCCAAGTTTGAAATTAGAATATTCCGGTTTAACTATTGTTTTCAGTTAAAGACGTATTGGAAAAAAGCATGGTTTATTATTGCATTTCGACATGTAAGGGTCATTTGATGATGACTTGACATGAAAATCTTACATATTGTTACTTTAATGCTTAGAAGGTCACATTTTTGACATATTAAAAAAACCTTCAAAGCACTGTCCAAAAATGTTAATGAATGTCTCGGATCAGGACATAACGACAACAGACATCAGTGGGAGATGATGCTTTTTAATGAGTAAGTCATACATTACTTTCACTATCCAATCCCCGGGTCCCCTCTCTGTGAGGGGTTTGCATGTTCTCCCTGTGTCTCTGTCACACAAACAGTGAGTGTTGTGTTGTTTTGTTTCCCAAACCCTGGTGTGCGTGCGGATAATGAGGGGAATGTGTCAGGACCGGTAGAAATCTGAATTATTTAAAATATGAAAACATGTTTGTGAAGAGAGAGAGCTGAGGACAGGACCTTTTGGCTCTGATGAACTAGGCGTCTCGGCGCTTGCCTCTTTTCCCGCGGCAAGATCTGGGTAAGTAAGTAAGTAAGTAAGTTTTTATTTATATACCGCCTTTTCACTGCAGATCTGAGTCTCAAAGCGGTTTACAATTGTTAATTTTGGGCATTTGTCTCTCACCCCACACAGAGATGGGAGCGGGGTCGCCAGTACAGGAGGCGCATGCCAGAACTATTGGACATATTTTTAGTGGTAGGGGAAACCGGAGTACCCGGAGGAAACCTACGCAGACACGGGGAGAACATGCAAACTCCACTCAGAAAGGCCCTGGTCCGACCAGGATTCGAACCCAGGGCCTTCTTGCTGAGAGGCGAGAGTGCTATCCACTCAGCCACCGTGCCGCCCAATCTGGGACACGTAGGCCTACTCTAGCCCTCCCTCCCCCTCCCTCACCCCCTACAGTCCCGCCCCCTCCTCCCTCTCTCCCTCTCTCTCTCAGACCTAGTTCTAGAGGTCCACATGTCTGAGACTGGTCTGAGGGAAGGACCAGCAGAAGAGATGTTTGGATCTGAACTGGATGTCTTGGAACTGGACTTAACCTGAGCCGAGGCTGCTGGAGTCAAGGTGGGAGACTAAAACAAGACTAAAGCAGGACCTGATCTAGAGCTGAGACTAAATCAGGACTAAACATGGACTAAAGCGGATAAGCAGAGACTAAAGCAGGTCGGAAGCTGGTCTAAAGCCGGGTCCAAAGCCGGTTCTAAAGCCGGGTCTAAAGCCGGGTCTAAAGCAGATCTAAAGCCGGGTCTAAAGCCGGATCTAAAGCAGGTCGAAAGCCAGTCTTAAGAAGGGACTAAAGCAGGACTAAAGTGGGTCTAAAGCAGATTCTAAAACCGGTCTAAAGCAGAGACTAAAGCAAGTCTAAAGAAGAACTAAACCAGGTCCTAGCCAGGTCTACAGATGTCCTCTTTCTGGATTAGTTCATACATATTTGAAAAACCTCTTTAGCTGATTAAATAATCCATAATCTGTGTTCACTCAGAAAACATTATGTTCCCATCAAACATGGATCCAGGCTTTAGGGGAATTGGGAACGTTCTAAACTCAAAACGCTGCAGTAAAAACCTGATTAAAGCCGGGGGGGGGGAACACTGGAACTCTAATTCTAACCCGTAAAATCCAAGATACCAGTTCTTGACTCTAAAACACAATATATGTTTGGGTTTTGTCACATCTGTAGATCCTCTTTTTCAGACAGAGAAGTGAAAAAGATTTGTCTCTCAGACCAAAGAGACAAATCGTGATTCGCAGAGCTCTTTACACAAAACATGACACATTTTCTAATGAGATGAAGACCGAATGTTGTGGTTGTATTTGTTCGTGACGTTTTACTTTAGCTGTAGACTATTGCTCTTGTCTAAAGCAGAGACTGAAGGAGAGACTGAAGCAGAGACTGAAGCAGAGACTGAAGCAGAGACTGAAGCAGAGATTGAAGCAGAGACTGAAGCAGAGACTGAAGCAGAGATTGAAGCAGAGACTGAAGCAGAGACTGAAGCAGAGACTGAAGCAGAGACTGAAGCAGAGACTGAAGCAGAGACTAAAGCAGAGATTGAAGCAGAGACTGAAGCAGAGACTGAAGCAGAGACTGAAGCAGAGACTAAAGCAGAGACTGAAGCAGAGATTGAAGCAGAGACTGAAGCAGACTGAAGCAGAGACTGAAGCAGAGACTAAGCAGAGACTGAAGCAGAGACTGAGGCAGAGATTGAAGCAGAGACTGAAGCAGAGATTGAAGCAGAGACTGAAGCAGAGACTGAAGCAGAGATTGAAGCAGAGACTGAAGCAGAGACTGAAGCAGAGCTTGAAGCAGAGACTGAAGCAGAGACTGAAGCAGAGACTGAAGCAGAGACTGAAGCAGAGACTGAAGCAGAGACTGAAGCAGAGACTGAAGCAGAGACTGAAGCAGAGATGAAGCAGAGACTGAAGCAGAGACTGAAGAAAGAGACTGAAGCAGAGACTGAAGCAGAGATGAAGCAGATTGAAGCAGAGACTGAAGCAGAGACTGAAGCAGAGACTGAAGCAGAGACTGAAGCAGAGACTGAAGCAGAGACAGAGACTGAAGCAGAGACTGAAGCAGAGATTGAGGAGACTGAGCAGAGACTGAAGCAGAGATTGAAGCAGAGACTGAAGCAGAGACTGAAGCAGAGCTTGAAGCAGAGACTGAAGCAGGGACTGAAGCAGAAACTAAAGCAGAGACTGAAGCAGAGACTAATGCAGAGACTGAAGCAGAGACTAAAGCAGAGACTGAAGCAGAGACTGAAGCAGAGACTAAAGCAGAGACTAATGCAGAGACTGAAGCAGAGACTGAAGCAGAGACTAAAGCAGAGACTAATGCAGAGACTAAAGCAGAGACTGAAGCAGAGACTGAAGCAGAGACTAATGCAGAGACTGAAGCAGAGACTAAAGCAGAGACTGAAGCAGAGACTGAAGCAGAGACTAAAGCAGAGACTGAAGCAGAGACTGAGGCAGAGACTGAAGCAGAGACTGAAGCAGAGACTGAAGCAGAGACTGAAGCAGAGACTGAAGCAGAGACTGAAGCAGAGACTGAAGTACAGACTGAAGCAGAGACTGAAGCAGAGACTGAAGCAGAGACTGATGCAGAGACTGAGGCAGAGACTGAGGCAGAGACTGAAGCAGAGACTGAAGCAGAGACTCCCCGTTTAGACGGAGACGCTGCAAAGCAATTAGCAAAAAGGCCCAGGCTCCTCCGAAGTGCACAGCGTTTACACAACAACAGAAAACAATGCAGTTCCAGGACTAAATCAGGACTAAATCACTATATTGATGCGACAAGGGCGGGAAGACTTTCATAAAATATGCATTTGTGAATTTTCTGACACTGCTTTTGCATGTGACCAATTCTAGTTTCTTTGTTTGTTTGTGAACAACTTGAACAATTGCAGACTTTATGATTTGCTACAATTGTGACCAGTCGTGCAGCCCGACATGGATGTTCTCCCGGTGACCCTGGCGCCCGCAGACGTCCTCTCGGTGAACGTGGGAGGAGTCCGGTTCTCGCTGGCCGCCCAGATGCTGACCCCGTTCCCGCACACGCGCCTCGGCAGACTGGCCTTCTGTCCGGACGCGGCGCTGGAGCTGTGCGACGACTGCAGAGACGGAGAGTTCTTCTTCGACCGCAGTGCGCAGACTTTCCAGTGAGCGGCTTTTACCATTGTTGGAAAGTAGTAGGAAATATATGAAGAAACAAGTATAAAGGGTAAAAAATACTTTCCACATGTAACTCCATCTGCTGCCACCAGAGCGAGCTGCAAGCCAGACACGTGATTGTAAAGAAATTAATGATGCTTGAGAAATAAACGAACTAAATCATGGACAATACTTTTGTTTTAAAGGCCGACAAGTGATCTGAGTGTGACAGTGATCTCTCTCTCTCTCTGGTCTCTGTCTCTCTCGGGTCTCTCTCGGGTCTCTCTCTGGTCTCTCTCTGGTCTCTCTCTGGTCTCTCTCTGGTCTCTCTCTGGTCTCTCTCTGGTATCTCTCTGGTATCTCTCTCTGGTCTCTCTCTGGTATCTCTCTCTGGTATCTCTCTGGTCTCTCTCTGGTCTCTCTCTGGTCTCTCTCTCTCTCGCTCTCTCTCTGGTCTCTGTTTCTCTTGGGTCTCTGTCTCTCTCTGGTCTCTCTCTGGTCTCTCTCTCTGGTCTCTCTCTCTCTCGCTCTCTCCCTGGTCTCTCTCTGGTCTCTCTCTGGTCACTCTCATTTTGTTTTGAAAGGCAGAAAGTGTGATGTCATAGTGGTACAATGACATCATATTATTACAACATTGTATCTAAAAACAACTCCAGGTCTGTGACTGATGAGGTCTGTAACTCAGTTTCTTCTCCGTCCTGTAATAGTATGATCACAATCAAAGCCGTTTTCTGCCTTTTGAAACAAAAGTATTGTCCATAAGTATTTTCGCAGTACTTTCTCTATATATTTTCTACTGAAGACATAAATTCACATTCTAAAATATGAAATGACAAAGTAAATATTGTTATAGTTGTGTTTAAAGGTGCAGTCCTCAGCTGTCCCGGTGGTGGTCCTCTGTGTGAAGTGGTTCGATTCCTGCTTCTTGTGATGGATTTGTTTTAGCTTTGGTTTGATTTAAGAACTTTCCTCAATCATTAATGATTTCAGTGCTTGCTTGAAAAGACTCGCTGCTCCACAGATATAACTTGTTTGGTGTTACAATGTAAAAGGAAAGTTTCATGATAAACTGTTTAAATATCCGGACAAACCAGCAACATTTAGATGAACCTAAAGCAGAAACCAGTGTCTCTACAGGACAGTTGAGCAATGCACCTTTAAAGGCAAAGTTGGCAAATATTAGGCAAAGTTGAATGCCTAATGTTTCGTAGGCCTATGCAAGCGAGTTAACTACATGTGCACAGTGTTCAGTGATGGTTGTGGAAAAAGAATCCTCAATTCGTAGTTGTAGTAAGTTGTTATGGTCCTGTCTGTGTGTTCTCTTTTCATCGCCTGTTCACCGAAGTTCTGTCTGTCTCTGTCTTTGTCTCTGTGTCTTTTGTCTGAAGCTCTATCTCTCTTTGGGGTTCTCTCCGTGAGGGGTGTCCTAAACTTCTGATATAAGATAAGATTAACTTTACTATGGCGACACGCTGGCTGAGTGGATAGCACACTTGCTTCTCAGCAAGAAGGTCCTGAGTTCGGAACAGGGCCTTTCTGAGTGGAGTTTGGATGTTCTTCCCGTGGGTTTCCTCCGGGTGCTCCGATTTCCCCTACCACTACAAACATGTACAATAGGTCTGGCAGGCGCCTCCTGAACTGAAGACCTCGCTCGCATCTCTGTGTGGAGTGAGAGACAAATGTCCACAATTGTAAACCGCGTTGTGACTGGTCTGTGAAAGGTGGTCAATAAATAAAACTTACTTACTGATCTCACAATGGAGAAATGTACATGTGTCGTTTGGAATAGAATCACTTATGGTGTGCAAAAAGACGGGATCTGTGCAAACATGTTAAAAGGTAAAAAATATAGTCTCTTTTGTGCAAGATATTATATTATGCACAATACACATTAAAAGGCTTTAGCACTGCAAGTTTTTTCAGACAGTGCAGGTCATTAAAGTGATTCATTGTACAGTCTGACAGCGGTGGTCACCTCCGAGTGTGAGAGGAGCTGTGTCTCTGTGTCTCTGTGTTGACCAAAGCTCTTGTCTCTCTGTGGTCTTCTCTCCTGGAGGTATGTGCTGAACTTCTACCGCACTGGTCACCTGCACGTGTGCGAGGAGCTGTGTGAGCTGTGCTTCCTGCAGGAGCTGCAGTACTGGGGCCTGGACGAGCGGCGCATCGAGGCGTGCTGCCGCGACCGCTACCAACGCCGCAAAGAGCTGAAGGACTGTGCGGAGCTGAGCCAGGACCAGACCCTGGACCTGGACCATGGTCTGGACCCGGATCGCGAGTTCCAGGGAGCGCTGTGCTCTGAGCTCCGCAGGCGGTTGTGGAACGTCCTGGAGAAGCCGGACTCATCCAGGACCGCACACGTCTTTGGGACGCTCTCCATGGGCTTCGTGGTTCTGTCGGTGGTAAACATGGTGCTGATGTCTCTAGACCTGGAAGAGGTGAGGGTTCAATCACTCAGGGCACTTTTGTTAGATTACTATTTTATTTTAATGATTGCTTTTAAATATTTGATGAAAAAGCCTCAAATCACAATTAACACAGTTGTTCAGGATCCTCACTGTCCTTGGCCTCCTGCATCTGTTGGAACCACTCAAAACCCAGACGGAAAAATGTCAGAAACTTTGAGACTGAGGATGTTTATAACGTACATCCGAATATATGAAGCGGACAGTGTCGACAGTGAGGAGGACAGTGAGGATGAACTTAGGATGAAGACATCCTTTATCTGTCCCACAGTGGGGGAATATTCAGTGTTGCATCACCAGTTACGACAGTGGCCCAGTTGGTAGGTCACCACAAGACCTACTTCACAACTCCCACTGATGTCTGCTGTCGTTGTGTCCTTGGGAAGACACTAAACCCCACTTTTCCTGAAGGTTCAATCAATCAATCAAATTTTATTCATAAAGCTCTGTTCATACAAAAAAATGTAACACAAAGGGCTTTACAGTTTAGTTAAAAACAATCCAACATGCCCAGCCCTAAACCCTCCTCCCCGCAGACCCCCTCAAAACCACATTTATAATTATATATACAACCACATGCGTATACACAGACACACACATACAAGTATAAAGTCATATCAGGTAAAATAGGTAAAACAATAAAAAGAAATGGGGCTGAAGAAGCGTCATCCAAGGAGCCATCTGCACCAGGAGCAGAGAGCCGGCTGCAGCCACAGGGAACGACACAGGACCCAGAGGAGAGAGGGGCCCCAGACCCCACCAGGCCCAGGACTCAGACCCCATAGGACCCAGAGGAGAGAGGAGGCCCCAGACCCCCACCGGATCCAAGAGCCGCAGACCCCCGAAGCCACAGCAGACCCCAGCTCCCAGTGCAGAGGGCTCCTCCAGAGGAAACACTGGGGACACTAAAACAATACAATAATTCAATAGAAAGTAGAACAATAAAATGAGACACTAAAAAGAAAAATGGCAGCTGCCTAATATTGATAATAACAATAGTAAATGGGTAGATACAATAAATAATTAAAAATCAAAAATAATCAAAAATAAATAAAAATAGAATGTGTCTAAAAACATAAATAGATGTACTAAAAAGCAATAATAAATGCTAATCAAAAGCTAATCTAAAAAGGTGCGTCTTGAGCCTACTCTTAAAAATATGGACGTTCAAGGCTATGCTCTCTCTGACAAAGCGGCCATCTTCCTTTGGACTCACCACCTGCAGGAGGATCAGTGAGAGGCTGGTGCATCTGACTGCTACCCCCTGACCCAGAGATGGATTAAGGGGAATAAACGGAATGGATGGATCAATAGTTACAGAACAGCAGGAATGAGGAGCACAGAACACACAATATATGATAAACTACTCTAACCTTAAATAATAAAATATCTAACAATAGTATGAAAAAGAAGCAAGTATAAAATCTCGATTAAGACCAGGGAAAGTGGGAGGTCTGTTTACCCTTTCTGGACTCTCCCCTCGCAGACGTTGGGTGGGAGTTTGGGCGTGGCTTCTGTCCTGGACGTCCTGGAGCTGGTGTGTGTGGCCTGGTTCACGGTGGAGTTGCTGCTTCGGTTCCTCTGTGTTCGGGACAAGTGGCGCTTCAGCCGCGGCGTGCAGAATGTGATCGACCTGCTCGCTGTGCTGCCCTTCTACGTAACGGCGGCCGTGGAGACTCTACACGGCGAGTCCTCTGACCTGGAGGACATGGGCCGAGTGGTGCAGGTCCTGAGGCTGCTGCGGTGTCTGCGCATGCTCAAGCTGGGACGCCATCTCACCGGTAAGAAGATCCAAGACTGAGGCTGTAGACCCAGGACTGAGGCTGTAGATCCAGGACTGAGGCTGTAGATCCAGGACTGAGGCTGTAGACCCAGGGCTGTAGACCCAGGACTGAGGCTGTAGACCCAGAGGCTGTAGACCTAGGACTGAGGCTGTAGACCCAGAGGCTGTAGACCTAGGACTGAGGCTGTAGACCCAGAGGCTGTAGACCTAGGACTGAGGCTGTAGATCCTGGACTGAGGCTGTAGACCCAGAGGCTGTAGACCTAGGACTGAGGCTGTAGATCCTGGACTGAGGCTGTAGATCCAGGACTGAGGCTGTAGACCCAGGACTGAGGCTGTAGATCCTGGACTGAGGCTGTAGATCCTGGACTGAGGCTGTAGATCCAGGACTGACGCTGTAGATCCAGGACTGAGGCTGTAGATCCAGGACTGAGGCTGTAGATCCAGGATTGAGGCTGTAGACCCAGGACTGAGGCTGTAGACCCAGGACTGAGGCTGTAGACCCAGGACTGAGGCTGTAGATCCAGGACTGAGGCTGTAGACCTAGGACTGAGGCTGTAGATCCTGGACTGAAGCTGCAGATCCAGAACTGAGGCTGTAGACCCAGGACTGTGTTTGGTACAGGACTGAGGGGGGTGCAGCCCATGTGTCCAGGCCGGGGGGAGACCAGTTCACGGGTGCAAAAGGGCCTGATTCAGGGGTCCCATCATCACACCATGAAACAGACAATCGGATAACGGGAGAATGCCTATGAACAGACTTCAGCTGGAGCCATAATGATGACAGATAAAGATAAAGGAGAGAGCAGTGGGCCTGGTGTAAACTGTCATTCTGTCCTTGGGCAAGACACTTCTGAACCTGGTCCAGTCTCAGTCGTGTGTGTTGGAGACAGTGAGGCTACAGTGTGTAATGTTGAGAGGTTTGTTCAGTTTCTCAGTTCTGACCCTGCTTTCAAACCTTAAGAAACGCGGTGGTGTTTTTCCCTGAGGGTTAAATATGTGGATGACGCACAGCACTGACAGCAGAAAGACTAAATAATGAAACAAAGATTTAAAATGGATTACGTGAAATGAGAGCGGCTTTGATCTGAGCAAATGTTCTGAGGAGAGAGGACAGGGAGAGGCGGAGCTCAGAGAATGTCCTGATGTGAGAGACTGATGCTGCGTTCATGAGATCTCGAAAAATCTGAAGTTCCGACGACCCACAGAACGCTGCTCATCTCAGAAACTCGGGCCAAAACTACAGACCATATATGAGGAGTGGACTGACCGAGTGTGACATCACCAAAGTGTTAGCCTTAAAAAGAGGCAGATTTTTGGACGAATTTAAGCCAAAGACTAATTTAAATTAAAGTTAGTGAATTTATGGCAAAAAAATCTACATATTCATATCCAGTAATTCTCATATCACAGCAGTGTGTGTGTGTGTGTGTGTGTGTGTGTGTGTGTGTGTGTGTGTGTGTGTGTGTGTGTGTGTTTCATTAAAATATAAGATTAGATATAGCTCTCCTGATTGAAGCAAACACATGACCCACATTCGTCGCTGTCCTTCACCAAGGGGCTGAAACACTGCAGTAAAAAGCTCAGAAGGTGAGACATTGTTGGTTTTATGCTTTTATCGCGTTGCGTTGGAAACGGCCCAGTTCTGGTCCGGGCCTGGATCCTCTGAGACCCGGATACTGACAGAACTGGAGCAAATCAACGAGAAGATATTTATAAATAGGTTTAGTTTATACACAGGGTGAGGGGAGAGAGGAGGGCTCAGGACAAGAGGTTTGGACCAGCTATAGTCCTGATTTAGTCCTGGTTTTGACCTGCTTTGGATCTGCTTTAGTCCTGGTTTAGTCCTGCTTTAGACCTGCTGTAGTCTTGGTTTAACCCTGGTTTAGACCTACTTCGGTCCTGGTTTAGCCTTGGTTTAAATCTGCTTTAGACCTGCTTCAATTTTGGTTTTAGTTCTGATTTAGTCCTGCTTTTGTCCTAGTTTTAGTTCTTTATTCTTGCTTGGAGCTGGTAGAAAATAGATCAAAATCAGTAGATTCAAAGAAATACAGTGTGGGTAATAATAAAAAAATCAGAACTATTAAATATTACCTGTGGTATCCCTCAGGGATCAACGCTTGGGCCAAAATTTTTTACTATTTACATTAATGATTTAGTTACAGTTTCAAAAGCACTGGATTATGTCCTGTTTGCGGATGATAATACTCTTCATTGTGCAGGTGATGACATAAATCAGCTCATACAATTGGTGGAGGTGGAATTGCATAAAATTAAACTCTGGTTTGATATCAACAAATTATCATTAAATATAACTAAATATATAATATTCTCAAAGCGGAACATTTCAAACCACGTTGAAATAAATCTAAATAACACTCCCCTGGAACGAGTCTATGAGAACAAGTTCCTGGGAGTGACTATGTGGCGGCACGGTGGCTGAGTGGATAGCACTCTCGCCTCTCAGCAAGAAGGTCCTGGGTTCGAATCCCGGTCGGACCAGGGCCTTTCTGAATGGAGTTTACATGTTCTCCCCGTGTCTGCGTAGGTTTCCTCCGGGTACTCCGGTTTCCCCTGCCACTAAAAATATGTCCAATAGTTCTGGCATGTGCCTCCTGTACTGGCCCCGCTCCCATCTCTGTGTGGAGTGAGAGACAAATGCCCATAATTAACAATTGTAAACCGCTTTGAGACTCAGATCTGCAGTGAAAAGGCGGTATATAAATAAAAGATTACTTACTTACTTACTATAGACCATGTGCTCAGTTGGAAGTCACACATAAATAATATTAGAAGTAAACTGTCTAAAGTAATAGCAATAATATATAAATACAGATATATATAATAAGTAGACTCTTTTTATTTAAGATATAACTCATTAGTAATGCCCAATATTACATATTGTATTGAGATATGGGGCAACACTTATAAAAGTAATACTAAACCAATTTTCATACTGCAAAAAAAGGCAGTAAGAGCAATTACATTATCAGCCTACAACGAGCCAACAAATGCACTGTTTATACATCTACAAATATTAAAATTCTATGATTTAGTCGACCTTTATAGTTTGATAGTAATGTTCAAGATTAAAAATGACCTTCTGTCTGAACCACTACAGAAACTGTTCACAATCAGAGACAGTCATTATGAACTGAGAGGAACAGACAAAACAAAAATGTAGAACTAATGTAATGAAAAGCTGTTTGTCTATTAGAGGGGTTGATCTCTGGAAGGGATGCACAAACGAACTTAAAACCTGCAATTCACTGTACTACTTTAGAAGGATGTTTAAAACTATCATTTTGGATGGCTACCTGAACTCAGATTTCTGATGTTGATATAGTTGCTAATTTAAATGCTATTGTTTACATTCACTTATACTAATGACACCTGTAAAAAGGGTAGGCAATATAAGCATTAGCTTCAGCCTACTCCTTTTCGGTCTCTGTTTCTGCTGTAATTTACTATCCTGACGATGTGTAAAATGCACAAGTGACCGAAATAAAATAAAAAAACTGAAAAACTGAAACTTTAGTCCTGCTTTAGACCTGCTCTAGTCCTGCTCTAGTCCTGCTTTAGTCCTGCTTTAGTCCTGCTTTAGTCCTGCTTTAGTCCTGCTTTAGTCCTGCTTTAGACCTGCTTTAGACCTGCTTTAGACCTGCTTTAGACCTGCTTTAGACCTGCTTTAGATAGATAGATAGATACGTAGATAGATACTTTATTGATCCCCCATTTGAGAAATTCAGGTGTCCAGTAGTAGGAAAAAATAATAATAAAATTGATTATTCTAAAAAGCTAACAATAGTTTAGAAAAAAAAAAAGCAACAGCCCTTCAGGTCACAGCAGAGGTGGAGAAGCCTCTGGGATCCGCTTGGTTCGGACCATTATCTCTGCTCTAGTCCAAAGTAAAAATCTAAATGCTTCATTAGTATTTTTTTTTAAAGTTAGCATTCCTCCAGTGAATTTCCGCCTGATCCGCTTGTTTCGGGCCATGAATCCTCTCTGCTCTGGTCTGAACCAGTGTAAAACCATGAACACTGTACTGCAGCAACATCTCAGGCAGAAAAAATCAATAAAAATAAAAATTATAAAACTCAAAACAACAACTGTTTCTGAGCTACTTTGGACTTTAGGCCTGATTTAGTCCCGGTTTTGACCTTTTTTTATACTGCTTTAGACTTGCTCTCGTCCTGCCCTGGACCTGTTTTTGTCCTGTCTTAGTCCTGATTCCTTTCGCAGACACTGGAGCCTTTTTCAGAGGAAACTGGGTCGTCATGGAGATGAATTATAAATTGTGAATTATGAATTATGAACACGAGTCCGGGACTAGACCTGGGACTTGTCCTGGGACTGAGCTGGAAGACTATTTATGACTGAACTCAAGACTGTAATAATGGGTTTACAAAACATATCCAACTTTTCCCATCTTCTCCTCTAAGGTCTTCGTCTCTGGTCTGGTCTCGGTCTCACGTCTGAAGTCCCTCCTCGCTCCATCTTCTTCTCTCTGGTCTCAATCTCAGGCCTGGGTCTGGTCTCAATCTCAGGACTTGGTCTGGTCTTAGGTCTAAAGTCTCTTGGTCTGGTCTTAGTTTTGTCTCAGTCTCAGGTTTAGTTTAGTTTAGTTGTTATTTGAAAGTGACAGTGCACAGCAACATTAGGCTCAAAGACTGAAATGTTTTGCACCAGATTATAGCCACACAGATTATTGCCATTTCTAGTCCCTGGTTACATGAAAATAACAATACAATATAATCCAGCACAAAACGATAACAACACAATACAAAACCTTAACAGAAACCACAACTTACACTTATATCTCACAGACACTACATCTCTCATTCACTTGGTCTGGCCTTGGTCTGGTCTCAGGTGTAAAGTGTCTCCGTCATGGTCTTGTCTGGGTCTCAGGTCTTAAGTCCCTCAGTCTTGGTCTTGGTCTTGTCTGAGTCCGAGGTCTGCAAGTCCCTGGGTCTCACCATCCTCTCCTCTCTGGTCTCAGGCCTTGGTCTGGTCTCAGGTCTAAAGTCTCTCGGTCTTGGTCTTGTCTGGGTCTCAGGTCTGAAGTCCCTGGGCCTGACCATCACCCAGTGCTATGAGGAGGTGGGTCTGCTGCTGCTGTTCCTCACGGTGGGGATCTCCATCTTCTCGTCGGCGGTCTTCTCTCTGGAGCGGGACGTTCCGGGCTCCACCTTCGTGAGCGTGCCCGTGGCGTGGTGGTGGGCCACGACCTCCATGACCACGGTGGGCTACGGCGACGTGAGACCGGACACGGCAGCGGGGAAAGTCCTAGCCTTCGTCTGCATCCTGTCCGGCATCCTCATCCTCTCTCTGCCCATCGCCATCATCAATGAGCGCTTCTCCCACTGCTACCTGTCACTCAAGGTCAGACCGTAAAGCCGGGTTACGTAACTTTAGCTTAAAGGACAACTCACCCTCCAATCCACTTTTTTTTTTGCTGATAAACGGTATAAATCTAACTAATTTGCACCACTTTGGTGCAAATTAGTTGAAAGATCCACGTTCTGCCTAAAACCGTCTGTGAGGCGCCATCTGCAGGCCACCTGTATTACTACATTTGAATTTTGAATCTGGCGCCAACACTGGCGCATCAGCAAAGGCTGACGTCAGCAGCCCTGCAGCCCTGAGGTATATAAACGGCCCAGTCTCGTTCACGCCCCGTAGCGAGTTGGAGAAGGAATAGCAGAGAGTATTTTCAACGATTGTCAGGTTCACGATTAGTTAAAGCATTTAGGGAGATTATTATTAGCATAGCTGTTTGTATTATAGATAATTGTGTAGTGTTAATAGCGTTGTTGTTTTGTTGTTGAATATTCTAGTTTTAGTCATTAGTTGTTTTTGTTTTTTGATTAGTTAGCTGAATTTAGTTTAAGACTTTTGCTAGTATTACTTTTTAGTGTTTTATATTGTGTGCAAGTTCATTGTATATTGTTTATTGTACTTGTGTATTAGGATGGGGAGGAAGTGTGGTGTAGTGCGGTGCCACAGTTCTGTAGGTTTGCATTGGTTTCCTCAGAACTTAGAAATTAGGCGCAAGTTTTAAAACTACATTTTGCACGTGATTCCTTCGCCAACTTAATGGAGGTTGAAATGAAACAGGCCCCATTCTGTGGCGGGTCGTCAGCTGAGACCCGCCCAACATTCACCCCCCTGCCTGTCCCCTTTAGCCCTACGTCCATTTGGAGGGAGATTAAAAGAGATTATTTGTGTGGGACAAACTAAATGTGTTATTTAAAGAGTAAAGACATGGACCTCAGCTTGAGCTCTACGTTGTGTGTTTGCAGGTGAAGGAGGCGGCGCTGCGCCACAGTGAGATGATAAAGCGATTGGCCCGAGGCTCAGTGGGCGGGGTAGAAGGGGAGGGGCCAGACGGTGGAGGGGAGGGGCTTAACCTGCGCGACGTTTACGCCTCCAGCGTCCTGGAGATGATGCGACTAAAGGGAAGAGAGAGAGGCAGCACACGGAGCAGCGCCAACGACGGCGCCCTCTGGTGGTGACGAGGGAAGGACCGGACTGAAGAGCGCTCACTTAAACATGCTCCATGAGGATTAAAGCTTCCTCAAGCAACTTCCCAGCAGCCAACTAGGAACGAGCTGGTCTGTCCATCTTATGTAGTGTAAATCTGTGAAAATCATGAATAATTATTTTTAGGTCACAGCCCCTAATGGCTGATTAGGTAGAAATTCAGATGGGGTTTGAGGCATCGCGACAAAATGAAAAGACATATCAGCTTCACCTCGAAGCTCTGTGGATTCATCACACTCAGAAACAATGCCGTGAAAAGTTACACAAAACTGAAGCAGAACCATAAAAACTCAAAGACTGGAAAAGCAAACAAATCCTCAACTTGTTTTTGTGAGAAGTTTTTATGTCACATAGTGGACACAAACATCAGGCTCGGACAACGCAGGCGACCTGTCTGAGCTTACATCATTTTATAAGTTCCTTATAGGTCCAGAAAGGGTCTTATTTACTTGAAGAAGATGACATAGTCTGGGATCGTGTCATAAATTCTGACAGAAGACATGTTTTATTGTCGATGGTAGAGACAGCACGAACAAAGCACACGATCACAGATACAATAGAATGCAAGTGTATTATACAGAGCGGAGGCATGGAGACCTCCAATCAGCAGCTTCCACGGTGCCATGTAGCTTGGCCTTCAGATACACAAAACAAGGGAAAAGTACTGGCTTCTGCACATTGATAGAATGATGAGTTTAACTTTAACAAAAGTTGCTTCAAAGTGTTATGAAATCTCACATACTCTTTACAAGTACCAGGGAGAGGTTGAAGCGTTATTCTAACTATTGTTCTTTTGGGGAAACCAGCTCATCTCACTCAGCTTCCGGAACTTGTCTTCGTTTGGCACGATGCCCGCTGATGTATGTCCATGTTATTTGTTCTCCTGAATACCGCTTAGCTCCCTGGTTCCCAGCTGTGATGTACCCGGACTCTGTAAAATCTTGGCATTTCGTCACACTGCAAGCACATCCTGAGGTTAACCAGTATGGCGACACTATAAGTGTTAAACGTCAGATTCTACTCTTAGTTTAGAGCCATTTTCTCAGTAACTCCTGGAACAATCCACATGGAACAGTTACACATTTGTCGGCACCTATCAACTATGGTTTCATTATTTTCTCTTAAAGGTGTCTAGAAGTGGTGACAATATTCAAAAACAAATACATGATGACTTTCAGACAGAATAATTTCTTATCCCTCTCTCCTCTCTCTGATCTCTCTATCTCTCTGGTCACTCCTTATTCGTCTGTCATTTCTATCTGGTCTCTCTGGTCTTTGGTCTCTGGTCTCTCTCTGGTTTCTCTGGTTTCTCTCTCTCTGTTCTCTCTCTGGTCTTGCCAGAATATGCCAGCTTTGTGAATCTAATCACTTTGGGGTACTCACCCCAAACTTTGGGGTAATTTTCCAGAGTCAGCCCCGTCGGTGTATGTCTCCACTGTAGGAACTTCCCCCACAGGGCCATTTACAGGAACTTTTATGGGAACCAACGGAGTCCATCCTCCATGCTAGGTTCTCCGTTCGGCCCGGAACAGCTCCTGGTGGGGCTTGAGGTCAACCCAGCACTGATTGGCTAAAGCTAGGGCAGGCTCTGACACCAGCAGAAAGCACCAAAACAACAGCATTCTTAAAATGCAGCAGCATTAGCCCAGCACCATGAGCCAAGCAGACACTACTGGAAACAGCAAACAACAACAGCAAGATGTACTGTGGAAAATCAAGCACACAGAGACGGGATCAAGGCGAACCAGAGCTCGGAAGTTTATTATCAGTTTCTTCAGTTTTTTCAGGTTTTTTCAGACAGAACATAATCAGGATATGGTCTATATAGTCAACGTTTACGTCACACATACGTCATACATAGAAAAGCATTCGTGTCACATCAAGAGAATCAGAACATAACAAGACCTCAAAAGAACAAAACACGGACACACAATCATAGCAGATACACAATCGGGTCGTTGTGACCTAAGGCCAGATGACTTTATGGCTATCTAATTCCCATAGTACAATAAAAGGACCGATTATGAGGTGAAGGCAATTGCCTTCTAGTGCACTGTAGAAATTCAGATGGGTTTGAGGCATCGCGACGAAATGAAAAGACATATCAGCTTCACCTCGAAGCTCTGTGGATTCATCACACTCATGCCGTGAAAAGTTACACAAAACTGAAGCAGAACCATAAAAAACTCAAAGACTACAACCGGCACTGTTCCCACCGTAAAATAAATAATTATTGATTAAGAGGTGATAAAAACTCATGACGTCATCGAGGTAGAGGACGGTTCCTGCTGCCCCACCCCCCTCCTTTTACCTGGAACTCCTGTGGTGGAAATGGTCATGAACGCAGCCTATTGTAATAGACTATAGATTACTTTAGAAACTCTCAAACTTCCAAACACATTTTACATTTTTGTAGTTGTTGCCACAGAGCGGTCTCCAAACATTTGATTGGATTTTTTTGGGCAGACCACTTCACAGCTCCTGTTTGGTCAGTTGTTTGAGCTCATATCTGGATTTACAAAGACCATATGACCACATAAACACCAGGGTCACAGAGAGCGCTAAACCATGGATATTTAAGCTCAAAACGATGATTGTGACACAAACAGTTACTGAGCTTGAGGAGTTTACTGTTCGATGTAAGTTAACGGAGCCAAACTTCAGTATCAAGCTTCACAGAGCTGAGGTTATGCCTGAGGTTACCGTGTGTATCTGTGTACAGTCTGTGTCTGAACCAGGACCTTCACATGTGTTTTGTAATTGTCAAATAAATCTTCTGTATAAAACTTCATGATTCTTGTGTTGAGATATTTTCCCGCCCTTTTCGTTCACAGCTCTGAGCGAAAACCTGCATCAGTCCGAACATCAGAATCCACACTGTTCTATTATCGTTTGCAGAATTTACTGGAGTTAACGTCATTAAACTGTCCATGTTGCTGATGATGCAGATTTGCTGATTGTGTAAATGAGATGAACCCATATTCTACTCTTCTCTACCTGGTTGTGTTTCCATTAAGCTTTAGTAACTGACACTGTATCTGAGAAACCTACCCATGATTAACCCATATCCATGAACATTTCTCTGTAACCATGGCTTCCAGCAGAACTGATCAATCAGAACATGTTAGTACCAGCTTGGCCTGAATAGAATCAGGGCCAAGGGGACTTTCATTGGGCTTTGAGCCAGAAGGTTGTGGGTTCGAGCCCACCACAAGAGTTTCTCCATTGACTCCCACAGATGTCTACTGTCGTTGTGTCCTTGGCAAGACACTTAACCTCTGGGAACACCTGATGCCACAGTGGGGCGGCTGTGGCTGTAAAGTGCCAAACTGCCGTTGTGTCCTTAGGCAAGACACTTCACCCCCATTGCCTAGAATGAGTCTGGTGTGTGTGTGAATGGTTGGCGGTGGTCGGAGGGGCCGATGGTACATACTGGTTGCCTCGCTTCTGTCAGTGTGCCCCAGGGCAGCTGAGGCTACAGTAGTAGTTTATCACCACCGTGTATGGGGTGAAAGAACATAATGACATGTGAAGCGTCTTTGAGTGTCCAAAAAATATGAAAATCGATGCATAAAGAAGGACCTGGTACTGGTTAAACATGGCCGGTGGGAATGCTGCCAATACAGAGTTAGAGCGTAAAATAGAGAATAAATACACACAGGGAGATACGGGTGAAACACACTACAGCAGAAGGCAAGCAATCGATAGAACTGATAAGGAAGTAAGGTCAACATTTTTAAAAAAGCCAAGAGAACAAATACGTACAAATAAAACTGTTTAAAAATAATCAAAAGTCTGTCTGTGTGTCTTTTCAGGCAGACATAAAGACAGACAGACCCAGGTGAAGACATAACCCCTGACAGTGGAACGAGAACGAGTGAGGCTGTAGCCACGGAGAGTCTCCAGCAGATGGTGCTCGCGGCTCAGAATGCGCTGCGCCACTGTGACGTCAGTGTTTTGGTTGTTCAGACGACTCCACGTGCGTCAGTCACGTTCTGCACGCGCCACATTTATTTACTCATCAACAAGAAACCTATATACAACCACACTCTACACACACACCACACACACACATTACAGTCATTTCCTCTTCAACAAATTTATATCTGATGTTTAAAATTGGGGTTTGATTAAGATTCAGAGATTAAGATTAAGCGATAATTTATTCGTCCCACAGTGGGGAAATTTCAGTGTTGCATCACAAGTTATAGAACAGTAGGAAAGAGGATGACACGGCACAAGTTAAGTGAACAATAGCTATACTAATTAAAATAAAACAAAATCTCTAACTCTAGCATCAATAAAAGTATAAAATCTCTATCTTGAAAATAATAATAAAAGAAGTGTAGAAGTTTTTAATTTGGAAAAATAAGAGGCAAGTATAAATTACTGTGTATTGTACTGCAAGCAATGTGTAGTTTTATGTTAGCAGTGTACATGTTAGCAGCAGTATGTTTACATCTGTACATTAGCAGCAGTATGTTTACATCTGTACATTAGCAGCAATATGTTTACATCTGTACATTAGCAGCAGTCTGTTTACATCTGTACATTAGCAGCAGTATGTTTACATCTGTACATTAGCAGCAGTATGTTTACATCTGTACATTAGCAGCAGTATGTTTACATCTGTACATTAGCAGCAGTATGTTTACATCTGTACATTAGCAGCAGTATGTTTACATCTGTACATTAGCAGCAGTATGTTTACATCTGTACATTAGTAGCAGTATGTTTACATCTGTACATTAGCAGCAGTATGTTTACATCTGTACATTAGCAGCAGTATGGGGTGACTTTGTGACTTCAGTCTCATGAATAACATATGTAGTTGGTCCAAATAGAAGTCTTGTAAAAGTCTTGTATGCTGTGAACAAATCAGAGCCCAACATGCTGTCTTTGTCTCATTAGAAAACATTTTATCTTTTGAGTAAGAGTAAGTCCTGTGAGTCACCATTTGACTAGTTGAGCTGAGAGCTGATTGGCTGATGGATGGTGGTCCCTTTTTTCACTTTTCTGTCTAAAAAAAGCTTTATCTGAAGATGTGAGAGGTCAAAAGTACATTCATGTGAAAACTAGTGACAGAAGCAAACCGTTTGAGAACCAGGAACTATTGTTGTGGTTTGAAAATTACAGACCCCAGCTTTAACCACACACAAAAACAAAACAAGCCTAAACTATTGCTAACTGAACTAATGTTGCAGTCTGAGGATTCATCGTTGTGTAAGAAGCTTGAAAACAGCGATTACACAGAAGGGTGTTAGCGCTGAATCATTCCTATTTGATTTATTACAAGCCTATTTTCCTTCTAAATCTTGACCTCAGACGCCGGAACAACAGTGGGAAAGGTTGGCGTGTTGTTTGAACCTGTATTCACCTTTCACCACCGGGAAGACATGGAGCGTGTCAAAATAAAAGGATCAAAACAAGACCAGGGAGAGAGCTGAGAGAGGCCAGATAGAATCCAGAGAGACGAGAGAGAGAGATGGAGAGAGAGACCAGAGAGAGACACCAGAGAGCTAAGAGAGACCAGAGAGAGACCAGATAGAATCCAGAGAGAGACCAGAGAGAGGGACCAGAGAGAGACCAGATAGAATCCAGAGAGAGACCAGAGAGAGGGACCAGAGAGAGACCAGATAGAATCCAGAGAGAGACCAGAGAGAGGGACCAGAGAGAGACCAGATAGAATCCAGAGAGAGACCAGAGAGACGGACCAGAGAGAGACCAGATAGAATCCAGAGAGAGACCAGAGAGAGGGACCAGAGAGAGACCAGATAGAATCCAGATAGAGACCAGAGAGAGGGACCAGAGAGAGACCAGATAGAATCCAGAGAGAGACCAGAGAGAGGGACCAGAGAGAGACCAGATAGAATCCAGATAGAGACCAGAGAGAGGGACCAGAGAGAGACCAGATAGAATCCAGAGAGAGACCAGAGAGAGGGACCAGAGAGAGACCAGATAGAATCCAGAGAGAGACCAGAGAGAGGGACCAGAGAGAGACCAGATAGAATCCAGAGAGAAAAACCTGATTGAAAGACCAGAGAGAGACCAGAGAGAGGGACCAGAGAGAGACCAGATAGAATCCAGAGAGAGACCAGAGAGAGGGACCAGAGAGAGACCAGATAGAATCCAGAGAGAAAAACCTGATTGAAAGACCAGAGAGAGACCAGAGAGAGGGACCAGAGAGAGACCCGAGAGAGTCCAGAGAAACACACCAGAGAGACCAGAGAGCTGAGAGAGACCAGAGAGACAGAGATAGGTCAGAGAAACGGGAGAGAAACCACCCTCACTCAGCCCAAAGAGTCAAATAGTGACTCACAGGGCTCTTTGAATTCTGAACATGTAGAAAAAAGTTGTTTGGTATTTTTCTCCAGCGCTCCTGGGCTCTCCTGCTGAGTCCATGTGTTGTAATCAGTAAATCCTTGTATATACAGCCGAGCCGCACCTCTGATTCCTGTCACAGTGATTCATAAATACTTTCACTTCCGCTGATCTGCCCCGACAAGAACGCCTCTCAGATCCAAACACGTCGCATTCATGCAACTCAGGCTCACAACAGTTTGTAGAAACACATGTTGCTGGTGGATTTGAGAACATTAAAAATCTCATGCGTCAAATGTTTGGGGATAAATAGAGAGAGAGAAACCAGAGAGAGAGAGACAAGAAAGACCTGACAGAGACCCAAAAGATCAGAGAGAGAGACCAAAAAGACCCATTAAAGACCAGAGAGAACCAGGGACTAGAGGGAGAGACCAGAGACATGTATAGTATTGAGTTTCACTACTGAGTTACTTCAAAAAGGAATATATTACTGTAATTGTTGTCTGTATCAGCCTGTTTTTTTTTTTTTTTAAAGATGTGAGTTCTTAAGAAGCTACACTGCCTTTTCTCAGCTCCTGACTACTGTATGCTTGTTTTTATATCCACTGATTACCAACTTGTTATCACTGACTAAGCAGCAGTCTTGCAGAATGACCTCCTAATGCAGCTGATAGTAGTTTCACTGTTATTGTGTCAGGTCGTGACTAGTGCCCCATTCATTCATTCATTCCAACAGCCGTTTAGATTCTTAAGGCCCCATGTGACCCACGCTCAGAAGAAACACTCAGAGCGGAAGTACAAACAAAATGGCGTTTATTAAGACGACAAAACCCTGAATAATCAGGAACATTTGAATACTCCGTTACGAAGTGGCTCTGACACAGACCCAATACAAAACAACTAAATCCACAGTGGAATTCTCAAAAAGCACCACAGTCCAGAGACACGGCCCAAACGCGTTGTCCCGAGAGCTGCCGTAGTCCAGTCCAGGCGAGAGGACTGCATCACAGTTTGACATGTAAACAAGCCCCAACCCCCACACACTGCCACTTAAAGCTGGGGAACATAACTTAGTCTCATGAATAACACATGCAGTCCAACAGAAAGGAGTCTGAAAGTAAAAGGCTGTGACTGTGAACCAATCACAACACAACACGGGTCTTTTTCTCATTAGAAAACATGCTATCTTTTGCATACTTGTGGAAAATTAACCTCACAGACTTCAAACAGGAACAAGGATTATACATAAATCTGGTGTAGTGTTCTGAAAGTTACGAACCCCAGCTTTAATGCTGTTCTTTTGAAATGTTTATAATTGACAAAAGTCCACTCTGTAAATGTTTAGTTACTAATCTAATCTGAAATGAAAGTATAAACAAAAGCAGGTTCTGTAAATGAGTCTTGGTAAAGTTCCAAACTGCCTTTGCCACACCTAGCATTCAACATTTCCTCTTACAACAGAGCTATTGTGGCATTAAAATCCAATATCAAAGCATAGGTGTTATGTGTATGGACAGATGCATGATTAAGTCTGAAAATGTACGGATTTTGGGAGAAATAGCAGTTCTTTTTGAAATTCACTTAAATAACTTCTGTCTAACCACTCTTTTCCTCCGTATGGACTTTTATGGCATTAAACATTTACTTAAGAGACAGTTCAAAAAACATAATCGTGTCTTAAAATTCACTGAATCAAACTGGGCCGATGTACCCTTTAAAAAACAAACATTAGCGTTAGCACAGTTAGCAGCTAACATGGCTAATGCTAACAATTACAAACGACAACAACTCGCCGTGTTTGAACAAAATTGTGAATAGATCGATTTTAAAACTATAATAAAAAAAAAACTAGGGACTGATGACGTGGAGATATGCAAATAATTTGTAGTACTGCATGTTGTCACGTTGCATCACTTTGACACGTTTTGGAGCCTCCATCTTGGCTTGTTTACATAAAACATCAGCGAAAATACAACAGATGTGATACACGTGATACACTAAGGACCCGCAAATGTTTGGCTCAAAGACGGTGATTAAACAGTGTTTTTAGAGCTGTATCCTTGGACATAGCCCTGACAGATAAGCCTGTGTTATGACTGCTTCTGTAACCCTTTACTCACACAGACAAATCAATAAGGTTATTTTTAGTTTTCGCGGAAAGTCAATCTAATCTATAGTATGTGTACACAATGTGCCCTTTTGCAGACCGATGCTTGTTTTAGCAGTGCAGCTTTCACCCGCGTTGCAAAATATCATTTATGCATCTTTTGTGCATTTAATAATAGGGCCATATTTCGTTGCGGTGTTTTTGGGGGACAGGTTTCGCCCAGAGTAATGGCTGAAAGGCGGGTTCTGTTCTGGAGCATTCCCCTGTGCCTTCGTCAAATCGAACCAGACGCCACTTTAAAGTCATATTTTTGCATAGTTCACCCATATTTAGAAGCAGGTTTTTTTCTGACACCTCTGTGGACTTTAATGTGGAAAATGGACAACGCAAAAAATAAAAAAAAACAATGTATGTGGACAGCTTCGCCATTTTAAACACCACATCATAATGCAAATGAATTAGAAAACGTAGCTACCAGTCTTTCAAATGAAATTAAGCCCTAAAATATAAAAAAAATTATCCCCAGGCTGTATGCACGGGCATCTGCCACCGTCCTGCCGCGTCAACACGACACGTTTTCGGGTGCGCACTCCCCAACGCAGTCCTGCAGCCGTCTCACCGCCTCTTTGATCAAATTTCCGGATAGAATTAGCTCCTGTAGCAGCCGGTGCGGGTCACTTTCCTCCACCGCGATCCGCTTCTTCTTGCTCCACGGCCGGATAGTTTGGTCCCAGTCTTGATCGCTACATGCGCTCGGTATGTGGTACGGACTGGCCCTGCAGGTCTGGTGTCCCCGGCTTCGGATTCGCAAACAGCAGCCTCGTCCTCGCTGGATCCCCGCTGTGGTGCTGGTGTTGGTGTTGGTGGTGGCGCCCGGGACCATCAACCCGGTCTGCTTCGCACCTCCCATGGGCATCGCTTTGTGATGGTGTGGACCGGTGCCATTGTGCAGCTGCAGAGCCTCTCCGATCTTGGTCACCAGTGCGTCCACCTCTTTGGAGTCCACGGTGACCGACTGCTCCAAGAATATGTAGTTTTCCTTTCGACAGGGCATGGCTGCGCGCTCCGTGGTCAACGCTGAGTTCCGTGCGATCCAGCCAAAGCCGAAAGAAGAGCTCAGGCGATTTGTAAACAAAGGCTGACGCGAGGAGGAGCCTACCATTTATACCCAACACCGGTGACGATTTCAAAACATAATAAAGCCATGTTTCGTCACAACAAACACATTCCTTGCGTTTGGCACGGTAATCAACACACCTGCACTGTTTTAAGTCATTATAACTACACTTTACGCACACTTTTCATTCATTTCCCCCGTCTCGGCTACACGTGTTGTAAGCGCGCACCCCCCTCGCGTTGGTTTCGCCCTAAAGGATTGGACATTACATAACTCCCAACTGTCTGTTCAGGCAAAACAAACAAAGCAGCATATTTCTAGTACAACAAAATGGCGACTCCACGTTGTGCATGATCTGAGTGGAGCCAGCAGCTGCAGAGAAAACCGAATCTTCGCGTTCGTGAGGCGAAAGGGGGGGCGGTGTGAGAGCAGAGGCCAAAACATGTGCGCTGCTGAGACTTGGCAAATAAATCAAATGAGACATACCAGAGACTGACAAGAGAGAGAGAGATCAGAGACTAACCAGAGAGACCAGTGACCGATCAGAGAGAGACTAGTGACTGACCAGTGACCAGAGAGACCAGTGATTGACCATCAAGAAACCAGAGAGAGACCACTCTGACAGGACACCCAGAGCAGTTTTTTTGCCTTTTAAAACAAAAGTACTGTCCATAATTCTCAGGTGAAATTACTTCTTTACATGTTTGTGTTGGCCCCTTCTTGTGTTTATTTGATAGGGACAGAATAAGAAACATTGTTACAAGATCCAATGCTATGTTCATATGTCTTGCGGACCAGGTCTGCAACAGCTAGTTTGCAGACCTGGTCCGAAAGACATAGAAATACATCACATTTACATTATACATGCATCATTACATAAAAAAATAAGTAATACTAAATAACAAACAAATAAAAATAACCCCACAGATTACATACATAGTAGAGAAAAAATTACAATAGATGATTAGAGTCTTGGTTTTATTAGTATTAGATAGCAATATGGCCTACGTGCAGGACTGTACAAGGACTCTACAAGGACTCCATGTTATGACTATGATGTGACTGTCTCTTTGTGACACGTATGTCTTTCGATGTGTGACGTGACAATGACTATATAAACTGTGTACTGCCTTTATTCTGTCTGAGGGAAAGAAACAGAGTAAACTAATGGAACTTGAGAGAAACTTAAATAAACTTCCAGAGTTTGGCACACCACGATCCGTCTCTGTCTGCTAAATCCTAACAGATTTGGTGGAGAATGCGCGGCTCGGTTTGTGCCATTCTCTGGATTGTTTTGGGGAGTTTTGCTCTGTTTCTTTTCCTCTGCGTGAGAGATCGGCATGCTGTGTCTGGGAGCGGGGATTCCAGCAGGCTGGAAGAGCTGTTCCTGGATGCTTCTTGTCGCTTCTGTCACTTTTGTTTTTTAAATTGAATATTCCGACGCGGAAAAGAGTTGGCAGACCTCTCGGACAGCCCGTGCATGCACCTGTTTGACAAGAATAAGGTAAGCAGACACCTTTTTATATGTAAAGTCTGCATAATTGGATACTAGCTAAATTTGGGTGTGTTTTTGAGGTCTGTCGAACTCTCTAAATTGTGTTCAAATAAGTGAAAAGGCCATAAAGTGTGTGAAGGATCCATAAGTGAAAAGGCCATAAAGTGAGTGAAGGATCCATAAGTGAAAAGGCCATAAAGTGAGTGAAGGATCCATAAGTGAAAAGGCCATAAAGTGAGTGAAGGATCCATAAGTGAAAAGGCCATAAAGTGTATAGGATCCAAAAAGTGTTGGCCATAAAGTGTATAGGATCCATAAGTGAAAAGGCCTAAGTGAAACCATGGTGTAATAATAAAAGCAATTTTTAAAAAGGGAAACGTGTTAAGGAGGCCTTTGTTACAAAAGCTTTGAAATTGACGAATTTCAGGCTGATAAATGACAAAAGTAAAGAAGCAACAATATTTCAGTGATCACGGTTTAAATTACATACAGAAAAAGGGAGTTTTTGTTTTTTGGAGTGAACAGAGTTCACCGGAGAATGCAGAGTTTTATCTAAAGTTGAGCTATGAGAGCTTTCGTGAGTTATTTACATTTTTTGCCGAGTTTTATCTACAGTTGAGCTATGAGAGGGCTGTATCCAACAGTTGTTTTTGTTTTTTAGAAAGAGATTTTGAGTTTAAACTAGTTTGCTACCTCGATAAAATAGAAGCGTAAACGTTAAAGACAAGAGTGCCTTTTGTTACTAGTGTGGAAAGTGATCACTTCTAGATTTGGATGACAAAAGTATAAAGAACAACATCAGTTATATTCGCTTAACAAAGTAATCTTGAAAGTTATTCTTCTGTATCTTTTGCCTGTGTGTGCACATCTCTATCTGCTGCCGTTGTCAGGGAAACGGCCCCCTCCTTCGCTGCTCTGGCTGTGAATCTGAAGCAAAGCTACTGCTTTAGGATTTTTGGCTTTTCATAGTTGTTATTCCGTTAAATTTGCTAAATTTGCCATTTGAACATTGTGTTAGACACAGTTAAACGTTTTTAAACACCATTAGGGAATAGAAGTTTTGAATTAGTATGTTTTTGAAACCCAAAGATTAGTACAAAAAGCTTTGCTTTTCTTTTAGATCTGCTGCTTATTTTGTGAGTTCATTATTGCATCTCTGATATATTTCATAGCTGTTTGTGAGAATTTTTTTATGTTTTTATTTTAGTTACAAAAGCCGTTTTTCAAACATTTAAATTAGAATCTGTTAAAAGTGATTATTGATTGTAGACTTCGTCTAAAAAAGAAAGAGGGAATTAAGCTGTAAAAGTATTATTAAGTTAAACTACCCAATTCACCCAATTCACATTCAAGTGGTGACTTTTGTTTTTGTTTTGACTATGCACCTGACCTTCCTCCTGCTGCAGATGCACGCAGCACAGGAGCCTGGTCTAAAATGTGCTCCAATTCATACTGACTTCATTTGAAAAATGCTGCAATTATTTTAAATTAGTAGAATAGATGCTGAGATAAATAAGTGTAAAAGGGAAAGTCCATAAAGTGAAACCCAAGATGTTCAAGATTAAAAACATCACACAGTACAAAAGTACATAATACATATTTTAAAGTTTGAAGGTTTAAGAGATTTGAGTCTTGTTTTTTTATATTGAGAGTTTCTGGTTTTAAAATGTCATCATTAGTAAGATAATAAGTAATCTCAAAATTGTTTTGACTTCAGAGAGAAAAACAATCTCATTCACATACTGATACTGTATCTGTTGTTTTTAAATTGGCCGTGTCAAGGATTGTTTTTCAGACTCTGCCTCACTGTACGAGAGGTCACTGCTGGACACTGGACAGCGCAAAGCCCACCCAGCCACAGGTCACAGATCAAAGAGCAAAGGAAAATGCCACCTCCTTGCCCCTCCCCACGCCACTCCAGAATGAGTGGGTGTGAGAGAGACCGGGGCCATGAAAGAGAGGTATCTGGAGACGTGATGGGTGGAGCGTCAGGGAGAGACCTAGATGAGAGTTGAAAGTGTGTCCAGTTGGTTTGCATCACCACAGTGTGACCTTTGAGACCTACAGGTGGTTCGTGGAGTCTGGAGAGACAACCCCAAAATTCATACATACACACACACACATACACACTCATACACTCACACATTCACATTTACATATAGATACATGAAAAAGCAGAACATGAGAAAAAAGCATTTTAAAAGTTTACTCCAATGTAAACACATATTTTTAATTGTCTATCACTTGAATCTTTAGTTGAATCAGTATTTTTTGAGACCAGAAATGTTCATTTGAATTCTATATTGTCATGGACTTAATTGACGTCTGTCCTGACACTTTTGATTTGTTGATTTTGTACTGTGTGAAGTAATTACATTGATGAGAATTAGATCTGATAAAAACACAAATTAGAGAAGTAAACTGCGCTTGCTTTTGTCTGAGGGACATTAGCAACAGCATGAATAGAAATTGTCTTTAAAGTAGAATCAAAGTGACTTAACCATAGAGAGTAACTATTGCATAACAAGCTGTGTACAGGAACTGAGACACTGCACCATTGACCAGAAGTGCATCGCAAATGACCTGATGTGCTTCAAGTGAAAAGAGTGTATCTGGAGATCCTGATGTGCATCTGGAGACCAAAACCATGGCTTGGACCCTACTGATGTCAGTGAATCTCCAAATGACCTGACCTGATGACGACTGAGACTCACCCTCAGGGGACCCTGAGGACCTGAGGATCTGAGGACCTGAGAGAGAAAACTGGGGAGTGATGTTTATATTTTTGAAATCATACATTGATGAGTGCTAAATGAGAGAGATACTCATGATTCTTTCTTTTGTTTTTGTTTGTCCCTAGCTTCTGGACATCTGATGATCTATTGGACACAGCCATTTGCAGAACAAGAACCAGCCAATGAAAACGTCTATTGCCGATGCTATTGCTACAACCAGAAACTGTGACAAAATGCAATATACATGTTAAGTATTCAGACATCTGACAGACAAAAACTTTGACTTTTTTAGTCTGGTAGACTGAGCAACTGTTAAAATGTTTTAAAATGATAAAGTATGAGTATTGTAGCGTTTTAGTAGATGTTAAATAGTAGTAAAAAAGTAGAATTGTCCTTTCTTTGTTGTTCATAAACACATTTCCACGTAAGAGTTAAAATAGTTCCATAAAATGTTATCTTTCTGATAGAGCAGCTAAAATATTAGAATCAGAGTTATGTTACAGCCATTAAAAGTGACAGAAGTCACAAGCTAGAAATATGCCTTTGCTCAAACTGCAGCCAAACTTCAGAGTAACAATAGTGTAAAAATAGAATTAGATAAATGCATCAACCATAGATGCTTTCAAAAATAGAGATTATTTGTAGCCAGTGCTAATATCAAATGGTAAAGGGACCATTTCACAAGCATTTACTTCAAAAGTAGATAAAGTTACTTACAGTTTTATTAGATACTTGCCAAATTCACTTGTGTTCAAACATGAGTGAATGTTGACTATGCAAAAAGTCCATATGAGTGTAGCCTAGATTAATGCCTAGATCAATGAGATAGATTACAACCAACAGAGATTCAAAAGCATTTAAAAGCATTTTGATGCATTTGTGTATAGCACAAAAACACAATAGTAGATATTTAGATATTGAGAAGTTTCCAGCACAAACACCATTGTAGAACATTGACCCCAACCCCAAACCTAATTAGCTACTATTAGGATAATACTAATTTGATTAAAGATGTACATTCATCCCAAACTGCCTGACAATAATATCTTTAGATAATAAAAAGTAATAAATCATTGACCACTATAGAAGTGTAAATGTTGACCATTTGCCTTACTGTGTTCACAGTTTTATTCCTGAAAATGAGAATAGACATGGAGCAAAATCCCACTGATAATATGCCACTGATAATGAGAGTGTAAAACTAAAGAGAGATTTATTGGATTAAAATGTATGTTTAAGAATATGGCTCAATAGAAGCAAATATGCAAACATATTTGTAAATAGATTAGAATAGTTTTAAACTATAGTGATAGTGAAAGTAAAGTACACAGTCTAAGATTGAAAAGTGAAAATAATACAGTGAAATAAGTGAAGTGTAAACAATTAGCATTAGAATAAAAGTATAGAGTAATAAAAGTGAAATTAGCTTCAAATTTGAGACTCAGCTCGTTTTTGTCTGTGTTTTGACTGAATCTGCTGAGTTCTTGTGTGTCCAATAGTTTTTGTTTGTTTTTATTTTTGTTTGTTTTTATTTTTGATTTGTTTTTTGTTTGTTTATTTACTTTATTTTTGTTTTTTATTTTTTTCCCAGGATGGAGGATAAAATCCACTGATATTGATTTGATGATTATGAGTTTAATGCATACATTTTCTTTGTTTTTAATAATTTTTTAAAGTTTTTTTTTGGAATTATTATTTTTTTTTTTTTTCTTTTTCCACTTTATTGATTGATCGATTTGAGTGATCACATGTGATTATGTGATCAAAGGGGAGGGTATTAGTATTAGATAGCAATATGGCCTACGTGCAGGACTGTACAAGGACTCTACAAGGACTCCATGTTATGACTATGATGTGACTGTCTCTTTGTGACACGTATGTCTTTCGATGTGTGACGTGACAATGACTATATAAACTATGTACTGCCTTTATTCTGTCTGAGAGAAAGAAACAGAGGAAACCAGTGGAACTTGAGAGCAACTTAAATAAGCTTCCAGAGTTTGGCACACCACGATCCGTCTCTGTCTGCCTGAATCCTAACAGTTTCTTTTGAGCCATAGGGAGTTACAGGCAGATAGAATTTTTCACCTTTCATACTTATTTCATCATATATTTTCATCTGAAGATATCATTTCACATTCTTTAAACATGATATGACAAAATTAAAGATGACGAGGCAAGTGCTTGTGGTGTAGGGGCGGTTTGAGAGCAGAGGCCAAAACATGTGCTCTGCTGAGACTTGGCAGTGATGGTAAAATGCAAAGAAATCTAACTCAAATGATTGGGTCCAAAAATAAGCAGCGTTGGAAATAAGACCTCGGGTTACACTCGTATTTAAAGATGTTTATTGGCTGCGGTTCAGGATCAGACTGAGTTAAAGATCGCTCTGCTTGTTTATAAAGCACTCCAGTCTGACACCTTCTTATTACTGATTTACTTGAGCCGTATGAACCTGTATTTCTCAGATGCTCCTGTTCCTTGGGTAAAACTTAAAATAGGAGAAGCAGCTTATCTCCCATGGTGTTCCTAATATATCATTTCCACTGAGCAACACAAACAGATGTTTCAACCCAAATTCTCTCGGTCTCTTTCTGTTCTCTCTCTGGCCTCTCTGGTCTCTCTCTGGCCTCTCTCTGGTCTCTCTCTGGCCTCTCTCTGGTCTCTCTCTGGTCTCTCTCTGGTCTCTCTCTGGTCTCTCTCTGGCCTCTCTCTGGTCTCTCTCTGGCCTCTCTCTGGTCTCTCTCTGGCCTCTCTCTGGCCTCTCTCTGGCTTCTCTCTGGTTTCTTTCTGGTCTCTCTCTGGCTTCTCTCTGGTCTCTCATGGTAAGTAAGTAATCGTATTTATATAGCACATTTTTACAGACCAAGGTCACCCAAAGCACTTTACAATGTTCAGAGTCCAGATGTTATCGTCTCTCTCGGATCGCTCTCTCTGGTCTCTTTCTGGTCCACTCCACTCACGTTGTGACAATAGAAGACATATTCTTAAAGTCTCAAGCTTCTTTTGCAACGGTGAGACGTCGACACGGGTCCAAACAACATGCTGGCCTTTTCCATTGTGTCGACACAGTGGAAAAGGCCCTCAGATCATCTAAAAACCTTATAAAGACTCACAGGTTCAGGCCATACAACACTGAGGTTCATTTATCGTTATTTTTGATGATCATTTAAGCCGAGGATCCGTTTCCAACTGGGTCAAACTCAGATGTTATGTCCCTCACTAATCTGGTCTTAGTCTGAGAGAATCTTACAAAAACACAAACAGGATTTAATTAAGCCTGTCACAATATTTACGAAATCTATACCAATCCTTCAATCATTCACGGATAAACCATATATTATCCGTGTAAAAGTGGAGAGATTTTAGATGTTTTTGCTGAAGAGGGCAGTTTATTCAGCTGTTTCTGAATATTACCCCACTGTGGGACGAATAAAGGAACTCTTATCTTATCTTATGGATGAATCAAAAACCAGCTTTTTTAGTTTTATCCTGCTGTGTTTTATTTGCATCGTTGGGAGTGAGGATTCGCACATCAATATCTTCAGATCGGTTGTGTAGGGTTAGGGTTAGGGTTACACCGTCTTACTTGCAAAATAAAAAGGATTTATTGGGAGTGGGACGTTTCGGCGTTACCCCCGCATCAAGCAAATATGAGAAGAGCACATCTTAAAAGGGCGGGGCAGGCACCCAAGGGTGTACAGTCACCCCACCCACAGAGTATTTCACAATAAATTACATGAACCAATAGGTGGAGACAGTCCAAAAATACAGAGAATACAATATATATATATATATATAAAGTTTGCACATTTTTAGTACAAGTAAAAACTAGCATCTTGCATCGTTGGGCATTAGTAGTTTCAATATTATCATTTATCGCAAAAAAAACGTCTGAAGAAACATCTCGTCCATCAAAATAGGTTATCGTGACAGCACTAGAGATTTATTCAATTCAATTCATCCGGACTAAAGGACATATAATAAAACAATAGCTTTTCCCCATGTTCCAAAAATGTCCCCTGACAGTGTATTTTCTATTTCCTGGTGTCCGGGTCAGATTTCAGTGCTGATCTTAACACAATTTGGTGACACACAACTATGCAAACGTCCAGGATGACATTAGAATAGTATCAGTCGTATTTAACATAATGAGGCCAATCTGACTGTGAGAGACGGTTTCAGCTCAAAACAAAAGACCACTACGACTGTGAGGAGGGGGGGGGGGGGGGAGTTTTTGTTGCATACACAAGTGTTTGTGTATGCAACACAAACACTTATTACCACTCCACTGGAAATACTTGCATTTGGAAGGTAAGCAATCAAAGCAACTCTAGTTTACATACACTTCATTTAAAGAAGGAGTACGTACTTTCAGATCACAACAATAAAATCCTCCAAGACCGTTTGCTTCTATCCCTAGTTGTCAGATCCATTTGTTTTAGGCCTCTCCCTCATCTTAAGATCAGCTTTTTCAGACAGAAAAGTGAAAAGGATCGAAGATTGGACCACCCTCACTCAGCTCTCAGTCAAAAGAGTCAAATAGTGTTTTTATATTTTATAAGAAGCAACTGTGGTTAAAGCTGAGTTCATTATTATACATGACACTGGAGCTGGTACTTTTCCACTTGTTTTGATTATCTGAAGGTCGAAGCCACTGGCATCGTGGCAAATGCTGATTGGACTGTATTCTATAATATCACTTTCATTCTGTAACATCTTTGCTTGTGTCTCGTCTACCATCAACACTAAAATATGTCTGTCTGACACGATCCCAGACTTTGTCATTCTCATCAAATGACTCTCTGGGCTCTGTCTTATAAATATGATAATGGTAACACGCTTTATAATGACAGCAAGTTGTGGTCTGATTTACAACAACTTTAAAAATGCTATTTCTGTTGGACCAACTACATTTATTTATCAAACTAAAGCTCAGGCCTGAATCTACAGCTTGTCTGCCAGTGTGCCCATGTTGATTCCTCTATCAACATGGGCCTCACCTTTTCCCATTGTGATCCCTCATATTGCTACAGGAGGGTCTACGGACATTGAAGATCCAGGACATTTATTACCCTTTATGGACAGTGGTCCCGCTCCCTATGGACCAATGGCTTTTATGTGTTTGTTATTATTGCATTACTGTGTTCAAACTATTTGATTCTTTGATCTGTTTTTTTTAGGAATCAACCGCCGATAAGACTGCTGTTGCGATTTAGGGCATCACACAAATACATTGAATTGAATTGGAATAAAGTCAGATATTCCAACATTAACTATAACTTGTAATGGACACAAAAAAGTAGTCTGATACAGTGTTTAGTTCTAGTTCATATCCTACTGTATATCCCTGTGCACAGGGACTGGCCCAACACTGGAGGCGATGGACATGAAAACATGACGTTACTTGAGCACAGAGAGCTTCACAGACACATGTGGAGCTCCTGGAAAAGTTATGCAACAGGCGGTCCATGTGACGGAGCCTCGAGCTGCAGGAAGACTCCTGCAGAAGTGTGCACCAGAGACAACATGACAACATGCTGCAGATACACAATACAAGCACATGCTGAGAGAGTGCAGGATCAGCTTTCAAAGTGTTTTGTTCTGTGTAATAACAGCGTGCAGGGAGGGGCTGTAAGTGTGCCGAGATGTCCTGCGATCTCAGAGGGAAGAAGCTGGAACATGGCTTTTTCCACAGTCAACAGAGGAGTCAAGAGCAGAATACAGGGTACGTTATGAGTAGACTACTTGTGTTGCTTCAAACCACTGTGAGGTCCAATCTGACTTCTGTGAGATAAAATGAGACCTTTACTCATCCCTCAATCTGGAAATGTCAATGTCAACGTTGTAGACATTACAGCAGAATAAAAAGGAAAAATTAAAGCATATTTATGGACATTGGTCCTCTGCCCCTTATGGACAGCTCTATGTGTGTTTTTTAATCATCACATTCCGTGTTATTGAACTGTTTGAATCTCTGATCTGTGTTGGCGAATCAACAACTTTGTAAAGTCCTCTGAGATAACTGCTGTTGTGATATAGGGCAATACAAAAAGAAAATCAAATACAATTGAATTGAAATATGTAGAAAAAGTACAGAGACTGAGGCGGGATCCGAAGCACAAACGGCCATGAGCCTTTGTTTCAGTTTCCAGAGTTCTTTCAGACAGAGCAAACATCTTTTATGACAAATATGCGTCACAGCAAACCCACAGATGTTAGCTAGTCCAAACAGCAGGCATAACTAAAGTCGCAATGACCTGATCACTTGAGTTCTATGTCTTACATTTGTTCCATGTCCATTTTGTGAAGGCCAGTTCCAACAATCAGAATCATTTTTATCACCATGTAAGCAACAGGAAGTCACAGACTAGGAAATTGCTTTGGCTGTTGGTGCAACAAGTGTCTGTCCTCAACAATCTGACATGTGGGGTTCCCCAGGGGTCTGTCTCTGGTCTGCTTTTGTTACAGTAGAGCACACTTTTAGCAAATATAATCACACCGAGTCTTTGCGTTGAGTGTTTTTGTTTTAATTTAATAACTGAACACATGTTTACTGCTTTAGCCGCACAAAATGAATGACCGAGGAAATAATTGACATTTTACAAGTATTTTATTATCCTGAGTCACCTGCTGCTGTGAGAAAGCGAAAGCTCCTTTGGTCACTCATTAAGACCAGGACACAACTGGACTCTATGACCCGGGGCAGAGACCAGAACAAACCTTGAAGATTTGTAGAAAATGTGAAAATGGAAAAAACTTAATGTGTCTTGTTTTACACAAAATGGACACTGGACCGGGTTCAGTCTGGTCTCAGTCCTAGTCCTGGAGACATAATAATAACTACCCACGCTCTTTTGCATTGGGGGTTGTCATGCACTTGTTTACCGCTTTTTAAACACAGACCAGAACTTAAGTCGTGATAATAAAAGTTTAAAGGAGACATAAGATGCAAATGGCAAATAAATGAATCTGAATCTGAACATTGACTTTTTTGAGGTTTTATCCGTGTTACACATTTTTTAATCATTAAAAAGAGACATCGAGTTGTTTTTAGATCCATCCATTTCTGGCACAAACATTAAACTCCCCCCTTTATGTCTAAAATCTCATTCCTCAGTCCTGTATTAGTATGCAAAACTTATGACATCAAACTCAGAACAGTATTCCAGAGACCAGAGAGAGACCAGAGAGAGACCAGAGAGAGACCAGAGAGTGAATGAATAGTTTATTTCAAGCATGAGCATGATACAATAACAAAACTTAGATTCCTAACCGTTATAGTAAACAATATATATTAACACAGACAATGAAGTAATGCTCTTTGCTTGAAAGGGATGTGCATATGTAAGGATTAGATAGTGATTTGGCCTACGTGCAGGAGAAGCACAAGACTTTTGCCGGTAATTTTAAAATTTGACAAATAACAAACAAAGTAAATTCTACACCCGCTCTTGGGGGCATCATTTCAACCCAAAAAGCATTTTCACCATATATTTTCTACTGAAGAACTGAAGAAGTACTGAATGTACTTTGTATATATAAAGTATATCTATATACATACATACATATATATATATATATATATATATATATATATATATATATATATATATATATATATATATATATATATATATATATATATATATATATATATATATATATATACATTCATACATATATATATATATATATATATGTATGTATGAATGTATGTTTATACGCATCTGTTTTCAGATGGTGCAGGGAGCAACAGAGGAACACTGTGTCCACAGCTCTTCTGAGAAACACTGAACCCAGTGCTCTTCCAGCCGCACCCATAAAAGGACATACTACCCACCAGATCACATGTCTGCGGCGACCAATCACAGCGCAACAGAAGTGTGTGAATGGATCCAGTCCCAGAGGGGACAAGAGTACGCCAACAACAACATGAGAGAGAGTGGTGTCTATGAGCGAAGACCGAAGAGTAATGAGAGGGCTATAGCAGGACAGAACCAGGACTGAGAACAAGGTCTAAAGACTAAAACAGGTCTAAATATGGGACTGAAGCAGGTCTATAGGACTGATGGAGGACTAAGGACTAGGTCTAAAAACTAGCACTAAAGCAGAGGGGAACAAGAGAACGCCAATAACAACATAAGAGAGTGATACGTCGAAGAAGGTCTAAAGCACGACTGAAGAAGGACTGAACTAGGACTGAAGCAGGACCAATGCAGGTCTAAATCAGGACTTAAACAGGACTATAAACCAATGAAAGACAAATCAACTTGCGGCCTACCTTCCAAACAAACACACATGTAACATTTCTCTTGTTTATTGGTTTAGGATTGGTTCCATGTGATGCATGCTCCAAGACCAATTAACAAATGAAAAATCATAAATCAGAATTCCTACTTTGTTAAACCAGGCGAAAGAACTGGTCACCTTACTTCAAAATGTGCTGTTTCATTCTGGTCTGGTTTTGTTTGAATGTCGTGAGGTCATCCGATCCACAAGCCAAGATTAGTTTAGCCTTTCAATAAGACGGCACAAATAACCTCTTCTAAAAATATTTCTCAACACCACGGCTCACTATGACCAAGGATTTACGCAGCAGAGTTACAGTTTTTCTCAGTCGCTTTGGTGCATTTTTCACATCAGACTTAAAGTTCTCAAAACTATTTGTTCAACTTCCACAACATTGGGTCATTGGTGCACATGATCACGGCAGTT